CAATCACTCTACTATGTTAACAACACTGAGTGTTTAGTTTTATTTCACATTTTATTTTTTCCAGTTGTTTTCGTTTTAATACTATTCAGTTTGGTCAGCAGGGGAGGAGTGCACTCACTGCTGGACATCAAACTCCACCCATGAGCACGGCCATTAGCTTTCATGCCAAACACTGCCGTTTTATTGGCTGGCTACTGAAACATCTGCATGAATTAGTGTGTGCTTCATGTAAATGATATGTAAATGAGGTGCTGGTGGGCTGGTTTCATGCACTGAAGCTGATTTATCATTTATGCTCAAATCTCCACTTGTTTCCACATCGTGCAAAATTGTTATGAATCAGACGCAGAGCAGTTCATACCTTATAAAAGGCAAAAAAAAGGTGTTCTTTTTTACGTAACTTTGATGATTAATGGGCCCTTTTCACAAGATTCATGATTATGTCCGGTTTAAGCATTAGCATGGTAAAACTCACTTCCTCTCCATGTAGCTACTGCAGACGCGCTGTCAGTGTTTAGTAGTGAACTGTAGTGCTCAGACTCTGAGCTCCAGCAGCTGTACTGTAGTGATCAGACTCTGAGCTCCAGCAGCTGTGCTGTAGTGATCAGACTCTGAGCTCCAGCAGCTGTACTGTAGTGCTCAGACTCTGAGCTCCAGCAGCTGAACTGTAGTGCTCAGACTCTGAGCTCCAGCAGCTGTACTGTAGCGATCAGACTCTGAGCTCCAGCAGCTGTGCTGTAGCGATCAGACTCTGAGCTCCAGCAGCTGAGCTGTAGTGCTCAGACTCTGAGCTCCAGCAGCTGTACTGTGGTGATCAGACTCTGAGCTCCAGCAGCTGTACTGTGGCGATCAGACTCTGAGCTCCAGCAGCTGTGCTGTAGTGTTCCTGCTCGGCTGTGACAGTGAGAGTAAGAAGTGGACGGAGGCGCTGATTTAACTGTAAACAGAGCTAAAATGCTGTATGTTGATTTTACTGCAGTTCTGCTGCAGCTGCTTCACATCAGGCCGTCTCTGTGTCTTTGTACAACACGCCAGCGATTCTGTAATCTTCTGTTTTCAAAAGAAAGAAGAGCTTTTATAAGCAGCATGAATGTTATAGACTGTGTTTATATTAAGCTAGCTATACTGGCTAGAAGCTACTGCTAACCAGACTAGCCCGGCTAACATAAAGCAGCTTTTTCAGATGTTTTTAGCTGGGCTAGGAGTCTCGTTTTTGACTGAGCAGTGAAAGGTGGATGTTTTCTGAAGTGCTGTTTCAAAAATCGCCATGAAACTATAAGAATAATGCTGTTTGGCAGATCGCTAACATAGCTAAGCCAGCGTTAGAGCTAACTTAGCTTTAAAGTTTGCTGCTCATGCGAAGCTGGAGCTCCTCAAACTGCTAAAGGCAGGCTAGCTAATTAGCGACTGTAGCCTGCTAGCCTACCGTAAGCTAATACAGTTTAAACGAGGTCTGTAAAATAGACTTTACATGTGAAAGTGTTTGTTTGTGTTTATGTCAGAAGTCTCTGCATCCTGTAGCTAAATGTGTCACAGAACCTGCTCCACGTTAGCCGGCTGGTGGCAGCAGCTGATGAAAGCTAACTAAAGTTAGCTTCCTTATTTCGGGAACACAGCTACAGTTAGAAATGGCTTCTAGCGTTGCTAGCTAACCTAGCTACAGCTAAACAACGTCTACCAAATTCACACCACACAGAAGAACTTCAATTTCTTTAAAAACAGAAATATTACAGAAATATTACAGAAATCGCTGGCATGTTGTACAACTACAGAGACACTGCTTGATGTGAGCAGCTGCAGCAGCAGTAAGCAGGGCTACACCACACCCAGCATTTCAGCTGTGTTTACAGTTAAAGACTCTTTGTGAAAAGGGCCCATGGCCATTAGATCTTTACATTTTGACCATTAATTACTTCTTAAATTCCTCTTAATCAACATTAATTACTGCTTTGGTGTTGTCACTTTACTTGGAGGGACACAAAAGCAGTAATTAATGATTAAGTAAGAGGAATTTAAGAAGCAATGAATGGTTGATTAAGTAGAATTTAAGAAGTAATTGATGGTCAAAATGTAAAGATCTAATGGCCATTAATCATCAAAGTTACGTAAAAAAGAACACTTTTTTTGCCTTTTATAAGGTATGAACTGCTCTGCGTCTGATTCATAACAATTTTGCACGATGTGGAAACAAGTGGAGATTTGAGCATAAATGATAAATCAGCTTCAGTGCATGAAACCAGCCCACCAGCACCTCATTTACATATCATTTACATGAAGCACACACTAATTCATGCAGATGTTTCAGTAGCCAGCCAATAAAACGGCAGTGTTTGGCATGAAAGCTAATGGCCGTGCTCATGGGTGGAGTTTGATGTCCAGCAGTGAGTGCACTCCTCCCCTGCTGACCAAACTGAATAGTATTAAAAGGAAAACAACTGGAAAAAATAAAATGTGAAATAAAACTAAACACTCAGTGTTGTTAACATAGTAGAGTGATTGTTTAGTGTAGTTAATTCCCTAAAATAAACGCTGTATTATTGCAGTGTATGACAACAAAAGCACAGTGTAATGTGTCTTTAAATGGAACATGAAATAGTTACAGCACTTGTTTATATCAATGTGCATGTAAAGTCAGTACATCCACTTTTGTACTGGACTGTCAAGCACACAAATGAGTATTATTGAAGTTTTCTATTGTTGTTATTATTTTTGCAATTACAGATTATGTTGATAATAGTTTTGGTTAATTAGCCACATATCCAGCATTTATGCCCAAATTAACATGCACTCCTACCAGATATGAGTACAGATATGCCAAGATGAACGTGATGAATAACAAAACCGTCAGTGAATGTGTGTGCGCTCATCTTACGGTCAGATGTGACCATAAGCATCTTTAATGAACCAAAGTGAGAAAAGTGAAGCAACTGAATATATGGAGGTGATGGAAAGTTAATTAACAGATAATTAGCGAGATTAACACGAGTGCTAGTAAATTATCACGTTACTTCTTTATATGAAGAAAAATACTTATTAGTTAATTAACAATGTAATAAGCAGCAGTTAATACACAGATAATGAGTAAGACATAAACTAACAACAAACTAACTTATGACCTAACAGTGTACTTAATTACTAATTGATAAGTGCTAATCAATTACAAAGTAATAGCTAATGCTTAATGAAGAGTTAACTAATAACTAAATAATGGGAAACTAATAGTTGATTATTATATAATTAATGATTGATTTGCGACCCTTAATGTAAAGTGTTACCAAATAATTCAAAGCGTGTCTAAGATTTTTGGCTTTCAGCAGTAAATTGTGAGCATACAGCAATATGTGTATCATAAACACATGTTCTGTTAATTTGAGGGGAGCTTTTACAATAAATAAATACATAAATAAATAAAATAAAAATTTACATTTATTTCCTGCAGTTACTGAATAATTTGCCTTATGATTTGCTCATGTAAATTCAGATGGACAAAGCAAAATATACCCAACAGCATAACGAGGTTAATCTGAACACTAAAACTGAGACAGTTCAAACTGAGAAATCATCACATTACATAGATTTACAACAATTCATCCATAAAAGACTTTATTACAGCTGACCTTATTTACAGCAGAATGCAATGATTGGTAAATCTCATAGACCATATTTTACTCACAACAGAACACAGAACACAGATCAGATGTTGAAAAGTAAGAGAATTTACCATTTCATGAAAAACATTACCTCGTTTAGAACTTGATGACAGCAGCAAATTTGAATCTATTGTTTATAATTATCAATTAGAAACGAAAAGGGTTCAAAAGGTTCCTCTACTGTGACAAGATTGGCCATAACAGTAGAAGAACCCTTTTTGGTGCTATATGGAACTGTTTTCAAAAACATTCTATATAGAACTGTTTCTGCAGCACATTCTCCATCCGTCTGAAGAACCCTTTCATGATGCAAAGGGTTCTTTGAATGTTCATGCTTCTACATAGAACCATTTTCTTTACTAAAGAACCGTCTTTTTCATGAGTGTGCTTCTATAACCTACGAGCAGCTCTGCCAGTTTGCACTGAAGTCCCTGTAGTTACTGAATAATAAGTCTTAGTACGTAATAAGCTGGGATTTTAATTAATCAGTAGGATGTAAACAAGCCTAATCCTGCTTCAGTAAACAGAACACACTGGGACACTGGAAAGAACATAGACACACCCACAGAAACGCTGGTGTGAACTCAGGAACAGCGGTTAACTCTCTGTATGTCACTCAAAAAGGGCACAGAGGTGAAGTGGCTGACAGGCCCTCAGAATCAGAAATGTTGGAGTTTAACACCTGACATTCGTCACTCTGCTTCATTTTAAATTAATACGATCGAACATTTCAAACAAATCAGACTGAAACGTATAAAAATGAGGACGAGAGCTCTTAGATTTAAGTATCACTTCACCGTGAAATGAATTAAAACAGTACAAACAGAATGTGTTCAATTATCATGCAAAAAGGCAAATAAATTAAAATGCTAATAATAATAATATATAATAATAATAATAATAATAATAATAATAATAATGTCTCCATCCAAAAATGAAGATTCTGTCAAGATTCTGTGTCTCCCACTGAACTCAGTCTGGCTCGTGTCTGTTCTACTCTCAAAACAGATCTTATACGAGGCACAATAAGTACAAACACGTCAAACCCACCAAAGTACAAAATCTATATTAAACAAAGTCCACAATGTCTAAAATTTACATTAAAAAGTATCAGATGTAAATCTAGATAACATGACACACACACAGGTATACAAATCAATTTGAATGCACACGAAACATTTACATACCAAAATCTTTCATCTTTCACATATTTATCTAGTCTTCTATTACATCCTTGATCCTGGAGAACCTCTTAGTGTTTTCCTGCTCTGACACGGCTGTTTTAGCTCAGTGAGGGTTTGTTAATGAGCCGATGGGGTCTAACTGTGCTGCTGGTGACACACTTAGAACCTGTGCAGAGCTGCGGGTCAGCAGAGCAGATGAACAAACACTGATCGAGAGGACAAACATTCAGTAACATCAGTGGAAGCTTCATTTCTTTGAAGACAGACAACATAAACACTTCCTTCACTTCTCTGAGTGTGAAACTCAAAGTAGCGAAGACATCAGTAGCTGCCTGGAGTCGCCTGTAATCATGAAGCTTCAGTTCACACTGAATCTGATCAATCAGATCAACCACTTTAGTTACAGACTGATTCATCTGAAACAATGAGGAGTTTAACGGACCTAACGGAAAATGAATAAAAATAATAATTGTTTTATTTTTGCTGCTGTGGCTGTATAAATGCAAGTAGCCCCTAACTACTAAACTTAGACCAAATTAGATCGCCATATCATCCTAACTTTCATGACTTTTTCGCCAGGCCTCCGTGGGACACAGAGATGAGGTGGCCCAGAGCTGTTTTTAAAAAAAAAAGACAAAAAAAGCTGCGACACTGTAGCATCCGAACTCATTGGTCTCCTCACACAATATCACCTGCTATTATGCCGTCACATCCAATCTTAGCTAGCTAGCTGGCTATCAGGCAGCTATATAAAAAGAAGCTAACCAGATGGAAGTGAAAAATACTGTTTGGTGAAGAAGTCATTGATGTTCCACACTAAAGCACTGAAGCAGATGAAGAACGCAACACTGTGCTGGGAAAAGGAACTTTGGAGACACTGATGGGATGGTGATGACCTCTCAGATGCGCTGGTTACGGAGCATCTGATTTTCTCTCCTCAGCTGCACAATCTTCACAGCCAGTATCACAATCACAGCTACAAGTGCAGCAATCAGTACAAACATCCACGCTGGCACAGCAGGTCCTTTATCTGTGTCCAGACATGGCTGGTCATCTACAAACAAAGAACACACAGACTTGTAATATAGTATGTTATCATGGTCAGAGGACTTGAACCATGATAATATTATGAATATTCATGAATATATTATTAGTTGAGTGTTTACCTATCTGCTTTCCTTGATGTTGCCCCACCTGCACCCACAGTAAATACACTATATGGACAACAGTATTTAGACACCTCTACATTACACCTACAGGAGCTTTTATGAATCCCATTCTAAATCCATAGGCATTAATATGGAGCTGGTCCCCCTTTGCAGCTCTAACAGCTTCCACTCTTCTGGGAAGCTTCTACAAGATGTTGGAGAGTCTGTGGGAATTTCACCCATTCATCCAGAAGAGCATTTGTGAGGTCAGACACTGATGTTGAACGAGAGGCCCTGGCACACAGTCTCTGTTCTAGTTCATCCCAAAGGTGTGTGATGGTGTTGAGGTCAGGGCTCTGTGAGGGCCAGTCAAGTTCTTCCACACCAAACTCACCCAGCCAGGCCTTTATGGAGCTGCTTTGTGCACTGGGGCTCAGTCATGCTGGAACAGGAAAGGTTCTTCCCCAAACTGTTCACACAAAGTTGAAAGTGTACAGCTGTCTTGGTGCTGAAGCATTAGGGTTCCCTTCACTGGAACTAAGGGTTCTAGACCAACCCCTGAAGAACAGCCCCATATCATTATCCCTCCTCCACCAAACTTTACAGCTGGCACAGTGCAGTCAGGCAGGTAACGTTCTCCTGGCATTCGCCAAACCCAGACTCGTCCATCAGACTGACAGATAGTGAAGTGTGACTCATCACAACACAGAATACGTTTCCACTGCTCCAGAGTCCAGAGGTGTTGCTTTACTCCACTCCATCCGATGCTCAGCCTTGTGCATTATGATCTTAGGCTTGTGTGCAGCTGCTCGACCATGGAAACCAATTTCTTTAATGTCCTAACACACAGTTCTTTTGCTGATGTTGCTTTCAGAGGCAGTTTGGAAGCACTGTGCCGTTCAGCACTCGGCGGTCTCACTCTGAGTTTGGTGGTCTACCACTTCATTGCAGAGCTGTTGTTTCTCCTAGATGCTTCCATTCCACAATAATAGCACTTACAGTTGACCGGGGCAGATCTAGCAGGACAGAAATGTCACAAACTGACTGTGGCAGAGGCGGCATCCTATGAAAGTGCCATGTTTTAAGTCACTGAGCTCCTCAGTACGACCCTCTACTGCCAGTGTTTGTCTATCAAGACTACAAGACTATGTGCTTAATTTTATCCACCTGATAGCATTGGCTGAAACATCTGAACTCAATAATTAGGAGCATTGTCCCAATACATTTGTCCAAATAGTCTATACAATGAGATCTGACCAGGGAATCAGAAAAAATTGAGGCTGATAAAAAAGGAAATTTCATTCTACTGTTTGGATGCAGACCCAGGAGTGATGCACCACAAAGAGCAAGTCAAGAGGTTTGATAATTTGGAGAGGAGTTGGAGTTGCCAGTCTAAATTTCTGTGCTTTCTCACAGTGAATGAGGAAATGTAATGGACGTTAGACAACAACTGAATGTAATGTAAAGTTAGATTATAATTAAGCTTTGAACTCTTATCTGTTCAACAGAGACTTATAAGCTAACCTGTAGCTAGCTGAGCCGAAATGACTCTCCTTTGGCTAATGGTGCTGCTGCTGAGATTTAGCCACTGTGCTGTTCTGATTACAGGATTATAGACTGTACAACACAGCAGGCACGTTCTGTTCTGTAGAGAATCTGGCTAGAAACCTGTAGCATGGCATGTGGTTCTAAGGGTAAACTCTACTTTAACAGCGTGTGATGCTGGTATGAAGGCTGTAATGAATGTAAAAAGTGAGCAGTAGGAAGAAATGGTATTAGCATACTCTCTGTGCTAGCACAGGTGAGCAGTTGCTGTAGACCCCACCCACTTCCTCCACTTTTAGCGTCATAATGGTTTATTTATTTCATAAAACCTACAAACCGGATTCCAAAAAAGTTGGGACACTAAACAAATTGTGAATAAAAACTGAATGCAGTGATGTGGAGGTGCCAACATCTAATATTTTATTCAGAATAGAACACAAATCACAGATCAAAAGTTTAAACTGAGAGAATGTATCATTTTAAGGGAAAAATATGTTGTTTCAAAATTTCATGGCGTCAACAAATCCCAAAAAAGTTGGGACAAGTAGCAATAAGTGGCTGGAAAAAGGAAATTGAGCATATAACGAACAGCTGGAAGACCAATTAACACTAATTAGGTCAATTGACAACATGATTGGGTATAAAAAGAGCTTCTCAGAGTGTCAGTGTCTCTCTGAAGCCAAGATGGTAAGAGGATCACCAATTCCACCATTGTTGCGCAGAAAGATAGTGCAGCAATACCAGAATGGTGTTACCCGGCGTAAAATAGCAAAGACTTTTAAGTTATCATCATCAACCGTGCATAACATCATCAAAAGATTCAAAGAATCTGGAACAATCGCTGTGCGTAAGGGTCAAGGCCGTAAAACTCTACTGGATGCTCGTGATCTCCGGGCCCTTAAACGTCACTGCACCTCAAACAGGAATGCCACTGTCAAGGAAATAACAGAATGGGCTCAGGAATACTTCCAGAAAGCATTGTCAGTGAACACAATCCACCGTGCCATCCGCCGTTGCCAGCTGAAACTCTACAGTGCAAAGAGGAAGCCATTTCTAAGCAAGCTCCACAAGCTCAGACGTTTGCACTGGGCCAGGGGTCTTTTAAAATGGAGTGTGGCAAAATGGAAGACTGTTCTGTGGTCAGATGAGTCACGATTTGAAGTTCTTTATGGAACACTGGGACGCCATGTCATCCGGACCAGAGAGGACAAGGATAACCCAAGTTGTTATCAACGCTCCGTTCAGAAGCCTGCAGCACTGATGGTATGGGGTTGCATGAGTGCTTGTGGCATGGGCAGCTTGCATGTCTGGAAAGGCACCATTAATGCAGAGAACTATGTTCAGGTTCTAGAACAACATATGCTCCCATCTTGACGTCATCTCTTTCAGGGAAGACCCTGCATTTTTCAACAAGATAATGCCAGACCACATTCTGCAGCAATCACAACATCATGGCTACGTAGGAGAAGGATCCGGGTACTGAAATGGCCAGCCTGCAGTCCAGATCTTTCACCTATAGAGAACATTTGGCGCATCATAAAGAGGAAGGTGCGACAAAGAAGGCCCAAGACGATTGAACAGTTAGAGGCCTGTATTAGACATGAATGGGAGAGCATTCCTATTTCTAAACTTGAGAAACTGGTCTCCTCTGTCCCCAGACGTCTGTTGAGTGTTGTAAGAAGAAGGGGGGATGCCACACAGTGGTAAAAATGGCCTTGTCCCAACTTTTTTGGGATTTGTTGACGCCATGAAATTTTGAAACAACATATTTTTCCCTTAAAATGATACATTCTCTCAGTTTAAACTTTTGATCTGTGATTTGTGTTCTATTCTGAATAAAATATTAGATGTTGGCACCTCCACATCACTGCATTCAGTTTTTATTCACAATTTGTTTAGTGTCCCAACTTTTTTGGAATCCGGTTTGTATTTGACAATAACCAGTACTGCTTGGCTATGTCTTGCTCTGGCTCAGTATTATGTTCAACCCAATGGTCAGTGAAGGGTTGATTCTAGCCAGCCATTTGACGTTACTAGCCAAAGCATAATAAAAATAGTGACCTTTGAGGAGAGGCGATTTTTACATTTTATAATGAATAAAGTATTTTGTGTTTTAAACACATTTTGGTAAAGTATTTAAACCATATTCAGGTCAAAATGCCTTACCAGTCAAGGAGCAATGAAGAGATCCTGACTTCCTTTTTGCCACTTTCACAGCTTCATTCCATCCTCATTATTAACAGTGGTTACTGAATAATAATGAACTTTCCCATGATGAACCTTTAGCTTAATGGCCAAATAGTTATATACACAGAAAGCACATAATAAAGAACCTCTGTATTCAGTTCCACCTTGGTCAGCTTACAAACCACCTCAGAGCCTCAGCACTCTTTAAACACATGTCTTGAAGAGAAAAAACCTTCATTCATACCTTGGACGGTCACTGAGTAGGTGTGGATAACTTCTTCATCCCCGGTGGTCTTTATAGTATAAACCCCGTTATCAGATGGAGTCACTGCTCTCAGCTGAAGAGCTGCCGACACTCTCTCTTCATATTCAGGTTCACACTCTAGTGAGCATCCATCCACTGTACAGATCTGATCACTGGACTGATTAGCTGCACCCGTGCTGTTATAAATCACCTCCACTGGATCTGATACGTCCAAATCCAGGACCAGAGACTGACCAGGCTTTTTCTGAACTGTGCTGTTCAAGGCTGAGGAGAAAAACAATCAAGAACCTCTTCATCTACTGTGAGCACGTCTGATACAAAACACTGCTTCTAAATCAGTGCAGTTCTGTTAGTAACGGTCAGTGAAGAATTTAGACACAAACACTTACGCTCAATCTGAAGCTGCACATCACAGAGATCTTTACCGTCACACTCACACGTGTACCAGCCTCTCTTAGTGAAATCAGCATCAGTGATGGTGAGAGAGAGATTCCCCTTCAGGTACTGATCATGGATCATCTGATATCCCTCCTTCACTGATCTACATGAAGTCTGATCACACTCAGCCAGAACATCTCCATCTTTATGTGATACGGTCCATTTGACCAAACCAGAGCATCTCTCAGAGCAGGGCAGAGTAGCAGAGTCATGAAGATTCACCTTCACTGGAGGTTCAGCTGATTCAGACCCTGAAAGAGAGAATCAGACATCAGAATCAGATTCAGTGAGAAAGAGAGTGAAGAGTAAGTGTGTAGTCATCATGTTGTACATTTAAAGTGTTAATATTCTTTCTCAATTTTTTAGGGTGTTTTCACATCTAGTTCTTTTTAAATGAACTGAACTGAGTTCTGTTGACCTGAATCTGAAAGGGAACCAACTGCAAATGACCTCAGTGAACTATTAAGAGGACTCAGTTTCTCATTACTGAGCTCCACCCAGCGAAAGCCAGTGTCTGCAATTGAATGGTGTGTTTGAAAGAGCAGTGGTGAATTTTCTGAACTTTCATTTCAGTTAATTTTTGGGGCCGTTCAGAGGGTCCGAGTTCATTCTGTCGTGTTCACATAGGCACAGAAAACCATGACTCAGTGGTCCACTTCACACACTAAAATGGCTCAAGTGTGAAAACGCCCTAAAACCAAAGAGAAATGCCCAGATCCAATCAGGATTACTTTAAAGGATTTTATCAGCCACATTGAGCCCAATTCAGTTATGATTATTTTATGCCCCTGTTGTGGAGGTAACATATATGCCAGTGAGAGCTAGCGAGGCTTGGTGGGCTTAGATTCTTCTATTGAACTGAAACTACTAACTGGAAGTTTGTCTTCTTTAAAGAGCCAAATTTACACAAACAGTAGCATTAGAGCACCACAGGAGCTCTAATGGTGTGTTTGAACTCACCGAACGTGTGTAAGCTGAATTAGTTAGTAAATAGTTTCTACTTGGCAAATCACAGATAAAAATACAAAAGATAAAATACAAAAAAATTATAGTTACATAATTGTATTTTATAATATTATTATTATTATTATAATTACAACAACAACAATAATTATTATTATTATTAATAAATATGATATAATATATTATTATTTTTATTATTGTTATTGTTGTTGTTAATTAGAGATTTGTCTCAGGAAATAATATGAAAAGTTGTTAAAAAAGATGATCAAGGAGTGTCAGTGGAGTTCTTACCAGTAGTGAATGTAGAGATCAGTAAGATCAGGATACAGAGAGCAGAACTGCAGGACTGCATGACTGACCTACACACACACACACATATATACATATATATATACATATATACACACTGGGGTGGCTGACATCTAAAGGAGGAGCTGAGGAGCTGTGTGGTGTCCTACAACTGGCTGCGCCCCCTTTAAAGACAGTTCCATGTGTTTTATGTGCTGACTGTGTGGGGTATGGATTTAGTTAGTGTGGGTTTGTGTTTACCTTAAAGTTAAAGCACATGGCTGGGAGAGACCTGTTTCTATTTCAGTCTTTTTCTTTCAGTGGCTTTTCTGACGTGTCTGAAGTTAAAGAGCATGTTTCAAGCAGGAAATATGGCCTCTCCTGACTCTTCTCCTGACCACTGTCACAATATTGTCATGTCTCGCCTCTTTATAGCACTGTATGACACACTATTAAACACAAAAAATAAATAACAAAGGCAAATCATTTTGCATGACGTCATCAGGCCCTGTGCCTGAAGGAAACGTCATCTACAAATAGCACACTGTGAGAGTCGCAGGTCCCAAAAAAGTTCATCTAAACACATCTAAACACTTTCGACTCCCTCATCTCTGCTACAACTGGAAGTTTGTCTTTTTTAAAAAGCCAACTTCACTCGAACAGGGGATCAGAGCGTAGGGGATCTCACGTCATAGCAGGAAACTGAACTGAAACTACAAAAAACTGGAAGTTTGTCTTCTTTAAAGAGCCAAATTCACACAAACAGTAGCATTAGAGCACCACAGGAGCTCTAATGGTGTGTTTTGAACTCACCAAACGTGTGTAAGCTGGTCGATTAACAGCAGTGAACTTTTTGTTTTCTGAAGCGAAAGTGTGCCGAGTGAGACAGGAAATCCAGCAAGAGCACGACTGTGTCATTTCCTGTTCTGCTGTATTTGTCTCTTTTGTCTGATTTTTTAGATTAAAAATACAGAAAAAAGTATTTCTATTTGGTGAAAGCTGTGAGCGGAGCCATCACTGAAGCCCTGTGATGTACAACATAATTCATGTAAAGCTTGATACAGTAAAGTGCAACTTACACTTGGGGTGAACATTATTAATGTAATAAATTAATCTGAATCAGTGAGGACTTTTAACTGTCCATTCACTGACCTCTATCTGCTGACGCTGAGCATGATCCACCACCCACATAATGTCTAGACAACAGCAGTACTGTGGACGGAAACTGACCAATGATGAATGTGGTAGAGGAAGGCTGTTATACTGTAACATGGATAAAATACCAGCTACTACTTGCCTCTCTCCAGCCTCACTGATTAAAAAAAAAACCAGAATATTAAATATAGAAACCAGCATTGTTTAACAAAGAGCCCCCAAACATCTCCGTCCAGCTCACTCTATTTTTCAGCCTCTTTCAAAGTCGTTACCGAAGCACAGTAAAGGCAGTGTAATGGTAACTCGATCAGGGAGGGGCTCAGTCAGAAACATATCAGCTGAAGTTGTTCTGTCTCTCAGTCGAAAAGGCAGCAAGTACAAATACAAATACACTCAAGAGTGAAATGAACTTTGTACATCAGTCAGAGAAACATCTCCAAACTTACTGAACTTAAATAGACCAGGGGGTCCTAAAGTCAGTCCTGGAGACCCCACGCTCTGCCCATGTCTAAATCGGGTGTGTTGGATGAGGGAAAGCACAGTAATGTGCATGTCATGCAACTTGGCACGGTGCATTATCCTGCTGGAACATCTCATCATTGTGGGGGTACATGAAGTCCATGAAAGACTGCACCAAGCAGTGAAACAGTCAATGATGTGTTCAGGTGGTCCAGTGGACCCAACCCATGCCATGAGAACACACCCCACACCAGTATGGAACCACCACCAGCCTGCACAGCGCCTTGTTGACAACTGCGGTCATGTCTTCACCGCAAGCAAGTGGAGGCGTACTGATAAAGGACCTCAAACACTAAAGCGAAGGTTTATCAGTTCCAGTACTTTACATTCCAGTCATGAATTTAATTACAATACATCGCCATTTTAAATGTGGAGATGCTACTTAAAAGAAATAACAGTTAGATGATTTTATCATATTGTCATTGCTTAAAGTAACACAGTGCAGGTAGAATAGAGTAAAGTCTTTAATAAGATGATGAAGTAGTGTCAGTGCAGTTCTTACCAGTAGTGAATGTAGACATCAGTAAGATCAGGACACAGAGACCGGACTGCAGGACTGCATGACTGACCTACAGACACACACACAAGTTTGGGCAGTATCCGTCAGAATTAATCACTTAGACAAAAAATAACTAAGTATAAATAAATAAATGAAGTGTGTGGAAACTGAAATGTTGGGTGCATGTAGATGTGTAAGTTAGATTGTATATTTTCATTTAAAAAGATTCCCCAAAGTCTCTCCAAACTGTTGAACTGGACGAAGTGGACAATGTTAAGCTCACCTTTTTTAGACATGTTTATTATACCAGAAGAGGAGATCAGCCTATTTTAAGCGTGCTTTAGTCTCTGCTTTGTATGAAGATACTGACTGATGTGTTCATGTCAAATATCCATCTAATGTTCAGTCAATACATCAGTTTGATGTCTGTGATGATACCGGCAGCATTACATACGTAGGTCAAAACGAAAACAATGAAAACACGATGATCTGTATTGAAGATTGCAGTGAAAATGCACCAGGAGAAAGAGGAAAAGTACTCTCAACTGAACAACACTCAGCTGGTCTCAAAGGGGAATTCAGCTGACCTTCCAAAAGTGACCAGTGTGTGAGGTGTGAACAGAGAGATTCAGAGCGGTTTGGTGTGAAATGGTTCAGATGTCTTTACAGTGGTGGTGATAGGAACCAGGGGTCACCATGACTACAACACAGATATAGACATTTTATTTACTATCCAGAACCACCAGTGAACCAACACGAGTCTTCTGAGTTTATATGGAATGTTGATGATGGAAAATAGTGGAACATCTGAAATAATAAGTTTTCTTTGGGGACTATTTTGCCTCACAGCGCCCTGCATGTATCCCTCCACCATGAATGGAGTTTAAGTTCTCTAAACTATCATAAAACAGTGTCTCAGTCATCAGGCAGTGAATTCATAACCATTTACTGTAGTAACTTTCTGTGAGGGAGCTTTTAGAGGTGGACGTCTGGTTCCTATCACCACCACTGTGAACAGTTCTGACTCGGTAAGTTTATCTAGAACAGAGCGTTTCACACCAAACCACTCTGAATGACTCTGTTTACCATTTCTTTATTCTTTATCTGCTGGGATTCCCTCTTTAAAGGAGCACACTGAGCTCAGTGGTACAGCAGGCTTTACTGGGGGTGGGATGGATATTCAGTAAGTGAACATTCAGAGAAATACATATTTAGAATGTAAATATGTGAACGAAAACTAAATCCTCCTCCTTCGCTGCCGCCAGTAGTCTAGACGTCTTGCATGTCTAGCATTCAAACGAGCGAATCAGATTTCCGTATTCGCCGTCCTGCGTTTTCATTGGTTGACGCGCCTCACAGCGAAACTCACTGAACGGTTCTTTAGGCACTTTTCTCTTTATGTCAGGCGCGCGCGGTAAGCAGTGGACTGTTAAGCTTACTTTCTCTTTGTGTTTTCTTTGTTTTGGCCGCGTCACTAAAAGCGTGTATGAAGCCCAGTGGGTTTACTGGGACATTACATTGGTCACTGGGCACTAAATGAGCCCACAATGCCGGACCTGCTCTGAGCGGTCAGCTCTGCAGCGGCTACTACGTCCGCACGAGTAGCAGAGATAACGAAGCCCATTATTACAGCTGTTGGTCTCTACGTCCGCACGAGTAGCAGAGATAACGAAGCCCATTATTACAGCTGTTGGTCTCTACGTCCGCACGAGTAACAGAGATAACGAAGCCCATTATTACAGCTGTTGGTCTCTACGTCCGCACGAGTAGCAGAGATAACGAAGCCTATTATTACCGCTGTTGGTCTCTACGTCCGCACGAGTAACAGAGAAATAACGAAGCCCATTATTACAGCTGTTGGTCTGGTTACCATGGGGGTCCACCGTCGGTGGCCGGGGGTCCTGCACAGCTAAACAGTCACGCTGGGAGCCACAGCTCAGTCACTGATGTAAGGTTTGTGATCACTTACTGTGCTGCTTGTAGTCGAGTTTCAAACTCCGCGCCGTGAAAAGCCCATCCGCCCGCGAGTTTAGGGAAACACACTGAGCATGCGCGGGCTTTCAGTTTGAACACTGCATCCTGCATACAGGAACCAATGTCGGGCTTTGAGCTCATTAGGAGTCGCTGTGCTGTGATAAACAGGAAACATCAGTATTTCTATTAAAAGTTTTAAACTGAGAGGGCTGCACTGAGGTTCACCAAGAAGGACTACATTACCCATAATCCCATGAACTACTGAACTACAACTAAGGATGGCTATATAGCCCAATGACTCTTCAGTACACTGTGTGCATTGAACACGGTCTTTAATAATGTTCTCACGGGTTAAACACAACACAGTAACAGCAACTAACTTTACTACAGTTGGACTCTTTTAGAACCAACTGGTAATTCTGATCAATTTAAATTTAGATCAGCGCCTTTAGCTTAAGATGTTTTAAATGCAGCACCACAGGGCCAACAGGTAATGTAGTTTACATAAAATAAACAATGTTGGTTCTTTTAGTGTTGGAGGATGGTGAAAATGTGCTCATGCTTTGATTCTCATAATTCTCTTCAGTGCGCTATACATTGTTCATACTACTACTACTACTACTACTTATAACAATAATAATAATAATAATAACAACAACAACACATCTGTACAGATGTTTCCACCTATGTTTCTATAAGAAGCCAATAAAACACAGCATACAGCTGGTAGGTGGAGCACAAATTACTAGTATTATTATTTTTTTATTTGTATTCTTAAAATTGTCATCAGATCAGTTATCAGGTACTGTTGGTAACAGGGTGAAGTATTTTGTACATGCACTCCCACCAGATCATACAGATACGGCTGTATAAGATAAAACAGATGAAGAGCTGCACTGTGGGAGAAATTTGCCTGCGCTCATCTTAGTCAGATTTGACCATACAAAACTAATAGGGGTCAGTAAGTCTGTAGTAAAGATACCTTGAGTTATATTTTGTGAGTTAGCATGATATATGCCTCAAATATGCTAACTCATGTGAGAAGCTGTCACCCAAATATATCAGTTATCGACGCAAGGCGAAAACACTTCTTATTCAGTTTTTTATTTTATATAAAGCCACTGAATAGGAGGTGAACTTCAGCCTCGTGAAGAAAACACGAGTCTCAGCAGCCGATTCTTCCCCAGGATACATGCAACAGTTAAAGTACTAAATGAAAGTTCAAACAAATAACTTACTTGAAGAGCCCATCTATATTCAGTTGCAGAGTCAACCTCTATTTGATTGTAGTGTGCACCGCTATTCAGTTCTAGAGCCCACCTCTATTTGATTGTATTGTGCACCTCTATTTGGGTGTAGAGCCCACCTCTATTTGATTGCAGTGTGCACCTCTATTCGGGTGTAGAGTCAACCTCTATTTGATTGCAGTGTGCACCTCTATTCGGGTGTAGAGTCAACCTCTATTTGATTGCAGTGTGCACCTCTATTCGGGTGTAGAATCAACCTCTATTTGGTTGTAGTGTGCACCTCTATTCGGCTGTGGAAGTGTGCTGGGAGTGGTTGAGCCCCTCAGTCATTTCTGCAGTTACACTTTATAAATTAGATTATAATGCTCAGAATGTTTAATATTAATATGTGGCCTTATAGTCAACATTTGTTTGCTTTTACAAAGATATTATACTTTTATTTATATATTATATAATTATAATTAATCATACTTATAATACACTTTTAAAAATTGTACTAATATATATGTATTTTAAGAAACTGACTTGTGACAAATGAAAAATGTGAAAAAGGTGACTAATGGCCTTGTCCCAATCCACTACACTGAGTGCACTTTCCCTCTTTCCCTTAAAACCACACAAACAGGCCTCAAAGCACATTTTAACAGATAAATAACAATAAATATGACAAATATTATCAAACAATTAATGATATTTAACTCTGTTTCAGTTTACATGGATTTTTAATATCAAAAAATCTGATATTAAATATGCAACTCAATCTGAGATTAAAAATAAAGGCTATCTTGCTGTGTATCAGAGTTTTAGCACTGAGTCTGAATCCAAGAGGACAGAAAATCAATAAAAACATGTCCACCTTACGCTAATTGTTTATTTTGACTTATAATCATCAATAGAATGAATCACCATCAAAATTCTTGCACTTTCAGCTCACAGACACTCCAGACTAACAGTTTCTGAAAGGTATCTGAGGTGCAACTTGTTTTCAAGATCTCTATATGCAAAAAATGCAAAATTTTGCAGGCGCTGTGTACATTTTTGACCAGAAATGACCCAAATTCATAAAGAGATCAAATTTCTGTTACCATTTACATGTGAAACTATGGGATATCTGAGCAGCCCAGGCTCTCCTAAACTAACAACATAGGGCAGGTGTGACTGTCTCATGTAAATTCTTTATAAGTGCATTTGTAATTGACCCAAAATAGCAACAAATTCCCACAATTCTGGGGTTCTAAGGGTTAATGAAGGTAAGAGATACTATATCTAATCAATTAACAGATTATTCAACTCATCTATCAGCTGATTAGCTGATGATCAGGTGTGTCAATAGCTGAAGTTGTGCAGAGCTGTGAACCTCCAGGAGCAGCATTAACAATCACACAGGGGTGGAGCCACACCTCCAAAAGTGGTGGGGCAATATATAATGTTTCAAAAATAAAACTCCATAATCTTCCATGACATGCTAATGATGCCTTTATAAACCTACTCAGAGGTGGGTAGTAACTAGTTACATTTACTCAAGTACTTCAGTAAAATATTAATGGATTTTTACTTTCCTGAGTATTTTATCAAATGTTAATACCTTTACTTCTACTAAAGAGAGTAAAGAAATCTTTTTCTCTGTTATGTTTTAGTCGTTCATAATTAGTTACTAATTCCATTTCAGTTTGATTCTGATTTGTTACATCTCTGACTTTGGAGCTTTTGTATTTAAACCAAAAAAGAATCCCAAAAAGAGAAGAACAGAGCTGCTGTAAGGGCTCAGCTGGCCCCGCCTGCTGCCAGCAGAGGGCGACGGCGGCACGGGGCCATAACTTCAGGGAACTCCAATTCCCAGAAGCCCGCTGGCTGATTAGGCCCAACTCGACACACCTGCGGACTCTTCTACTTAAGGCCGTGTCACACCTTTGTAGAGGGGTGACTGGTACGGTACTTAGTGTCCGAAAAAACAAAAGAAAAGAAAAGAAAAGGGCTGAGAAAAGAAAGTGCCCCAAAACTAAAGAAAGAAGAAAAGAGGGCTACAAAGAATAAAACTGCCTGGTGGTTCAAGCCTGGTTAGAGTTCAAATCACACATCACACTGACCATCAGGACTTACCCTGAGAGTGACTCTGTGGAGTGACAAATGTGACAAAAAGGCGGAAAAATGTGAAAGGTGACAAATGGCCTTGTCCCAATCCTCTACACTGAGTGCACTTTCCCTCTTTCCCTCAAATCACACAAACAGGCCCCAAAACACATTTTAACAGAAAAATAACAATAAATATGGCAAATATTATCATAAAATTAATATTAATTAGCTCTGTCTTTCAGTTTACATGGATTTTGAGTATTAAACATATCTTTAAATATGCAACTCAATCTGAGATTAAAAATAAAGCCTGTTAGGAAAGTTTAGGTTCATTGAACCTCAGATCAATTTTATTGTTGCTTATTGTTGCTTTTTTTTCTAGACAAAAAATACAAGATTTAGAACAAGGACTCTGAACTAGAGGAACTTTCCAACAGTGCTTTAGAAAAAAAATACTTATAAGTGAAGAGATCATAAAGCATCTACACTAAAGCTCTGCAGATGAACATCTCTTAATACTCTTAATACTTAGCACTGAGAAATATAACCACCAAACCCCTACCCCCAGTCTCTCTCTCTCTCTCTCTCTCTCTCTCTCTCTCTCTCTCTCTCTCTCTCTCCCACACACACACACAGTGAATTGCAGAGAGAAAGAAAGAACATATGAATTTAGGAAATCGATTGATCTCTCAGACATTTTGGTCATTAATAATTCAGGAATGACAGGCTAATGATTCCCAGAGCTGCTGATTTTTCATCTTCAGCCGCATAATCACTACAGCCAATGCCATAATCACAGATACAAGGACAACCACCAGCAGACCAGTCAGTATAATCACCCACTCCGGTACAGCAGCTCCTTTACCTCTGTCCAGATCTGATGGGTCACCTACAAAACAAACACAGATTTGGAATAAAGACCACCTGAACTACAGCTGGGCACTACACTAGGCTATTTTAGCCTGACTCGCCCCTTCTAATAAATGTTGACAATCTGAAGTGATTTTCCAGATCAACAGCTTGATTGGAAGTGACGGTGTGGATAATCTGGTGCTGTGAGAGGAGACAGAAGTCAATCTTTAACCTTCAGCTGGAGCTCCAAAGTGACCAGAGGACTTCAAACACCTAAGATTTTTATGACTTACAACATCCTGTAGAGTGATTTAGTCAACAGCCAATCAGAGAACTAGGAGAGAAAACAGGAAAACATTTGAAAGAGGAAAATTGATTTTTGGTCAATTATGTCTGCGTCCCAGTAGTTCAGTGTCGTCTGTTATCTGTTTTACTTGATATCGCACAGTGAATACAACATCAGAGCTGACTGGCAAGGAAATCGAGGCAAAAATCACGAAAGGTTGATAAGAAAGGAAGTTTCATTCTACTATTTGAGTGCAGACCCAGGAGTGGCGCACCGTGAAGAGCAAGCCAGACTGAACGCATCCTTGGGAGAAGAGTTGCCAGTCCAAATTTCTATGCTTTTTCGCAGTGAATGAGGAAATGTAATGTACAGCTGTCATGCATTCCTCCGGATCTGAGAACTACAATTCCTAGAATTCTCTTGGAGATCATGTGACCGTTGCCCTGCCATCAACAACCAATCGACGCTGTCCTTCACCTGAATACTAATCGGTCACACCTGTTTTGAGTCTGGTTAGTAAGTATATTTTAGCTTAGCCAATTGCGAGGTATTGCTTCATATTCCCTGAGCTACGGAGCATTTTCTACTGTTTTGTATTTTGTACAGGGTGATTCAAAAAGATTCATCTGATTTCAAAATGATTTATTTCTCTTGTAAATCGTTACAGATCAATGCAGTAAACTGTAAACGGTTTAAATGAGCATAAAGTTTACTATGTAATTGTACAAGTGTTCAGTATGAACCTCCTCCAGCTGTACAGACAACATCAACACCATAGTCAGATTCATCCCATACTGGATTGAGCATGTCGGGTGTTGCTGCACTCACGGCTCTTTCAGTGCGATTTCGGAGATCATCCAGTGTTGTGGAACCAACGCCGAACGCTCTGAGCTGTTGGAGCTTCACTGCCCACGAAAATCACACTGCACAGTTATGACTGATTCACTCTTATTGAAGTGGAGAACGCAGAGCGCTTTCTGCTCAGGGGTCTCATCTCCTCTCAGACTGAAGGGAGCCATCTTCCACTGACAGAAACTCTATGACCCCCTCTTTCAATTGGATTGTGATTGGTTCCTAGACGCCTCACGGTTGTAAAAATATGGCGCTTTGAAATTGGATTAATCTTTTTGAATCACCCTGTATATCTGAACTATGCTTTTTGGACTCTCGACCTTGATTTTGCCCTTACCCTTTGGATGCTGTTTGCCTGATTTTGTTATGTTTGTTTTTGTGTCTTTCTGGGCTGTTGTGGACCTGACCTGTGCATGGTTTTTGGACCAGGAGTTTGGATCATGCTTCAAACATCCGTGAGCATCTGAGCAGTTGTGTTGTGTCACAACGATAGAGAACAACTGAATGTAAAGCTTGAATTCTTATCTGTTTGAAAGAGACTTTATAAGCTAACCTGTAGCTAGCTGAGCTGAAATGACTCTCCTTTGACTAACGGTCCTGCTGCTGAGATTTAGCCGCTGTGCTGTTCTGATTATGGGATTACAACCTTACAACACAGCAGGAATGTTGTATTTTATAGAGTATCTGGTTAGAAACCTGTAGCACGTTGTTTGATTCTGGGAGTAAACCGGACTATGACATTATTTCCTCGACTTCTGGTCTTATAACTTTCCCTTTATTTCATGAATGTATTTGAAGTCTCCCTCTGGTACAATATAATATTCAGCTCAACAGCACTTGCTCAATGGTCAACAGTGAAGAGTCGATTCCAATGCAATCACTTGATGTCAATAGCCAAAGCATAACCAAAAAAGTGTTCTTTGAGAAGCAGAATTTTACATTTTTATAATAAATAAAATGCTTTGTATTCAATATGCTTTAGCAGTTTAAGGTATTTAAACCACATTAAAGTCAAAACGCCTTACCAGTCAGGGAGCAATGAAGAGCTCCTGACTTCCATTTCTTGACTTCATAAATACATTACATTCTTATTAGTTTAACAGTGGTTATTGAATAATAATTAATTTCATAATAATCTTTATCTTAATGACTAAATAGTTACACAGACAGAAAATGTAATGAAGTTCCACCTTGGTCACATTACACACCACCCCCAGAACATCAGCATTCATCAGGGAAATACAAAAATAATTCATACCTTGGACGGTCACTGAGTAGGTGCAGATAACTTCTTCATTCCTGCTGTCCATTATAGTATAAACTCCACAATCAGACGGCTTCATTCCACTCAGCTCAAGAGCAGAGATTACTGACACTCGCTGTGTGTATTTAGGATTACACTGTAATGAACCTCCGTCCACTGTACAGATCTGACCACTGGATGGTCCAGCTGGACCTGTACTGTTATAAATCAACTTCACTGGATCTGATATGTCCAATGTCAGCACCAGTGGTTCACCAGGTTCTATCTGAACTGAAGAACTCAAAGCTGAGGAGAAAAACATGATGAACTTAATCCACTGTGTGCTCATCTGATACAAATCATCTAAATCACTGGAGTTCTATCAGCAATAGTTACTGGAAAAAACACTTACGCTCAATCTGAAGACGAACATCACACAGATCTTTCTTATCACACTGACACGTGTACCAGTCCCTCTTAGTGAAATCAGCGTCAGTGATGATGAGAGAGAGATTCCCCTTCAGGTACTGATCATGGATCATCTGATATCCCTCCTTTGATCTGCATGAAGTCTGATTACACTCAGCCAGAGCATCAGTGGGTTTATATGATACGGTCCATCTGACCAAACCAGAGCATCTCTCAGAGCAGGGCAGAGTAGCAGAGTCATGAAGATTCACCCTCACTGAAGGATCAGCTGATTCAGACACTGGAAGAGAGAATCAGACATCAGAATCAGATTCGGGGAGAAAGAGAGTGAAGAGTAAGTGTGTAGTCATCATGTTGTACATTTAAAGTGTTAATATTCTTTCTCAATTTTTTAGGGTGTTTTCACATCTAGTTCTTTTTAAATGAACCAAACTGAGTTCTGTTAACCGGAATCTGCAAGGGAACCAACTGCAAATGACCTCAGTGAACTATAAAGAGGACTCAGTTTCTCATTACTGAGCTCCACCCACCGAAAACCAGTGTCTGCAATTGAATACTGTGTTTGAAAGAGCAGTGGTGAATTTTCTGAATTTTCAGTTTAGTTCATTTTTGGGGCCGTTCAGAGGGTCCGAGGTCATTTTGTCGTGTTCACATAGGCACAGAAAAACATGACTCAGTGGTCCACTTCACACACTGAAATGGCTCAAGTGCGAAAACGCAGTAAAACCAAGAAGAAATGCCCAGATCCAATCAGGATTACTTTAAAGGATTTAATCAGCCACATTGAGCCCAATTCAGTTATGATTATTTTATGCCACTGCTGGGTTAAGGTAACATAAATGGCAGTGAGAGCTAGTGAGGCTAAAGTACAGCCTCCACACGGTGGGCTTAGTTTCTCCAGGGTGGAGATTTTTTGAAAACTTCATTCTCAGTGTTTTTGTGTGGGCAAAACACAGCTTTTTAAAAACACTGACATCACATTATTGACTTGCACATGTCTGCAGCTGTTTTTGGTTTATTAATGAAAGAATTATGCAGAACTTTGTCTGAAAACAAAACAGTTATATATACACATGACATAAAACTGAAATATATATTTTACAATATTGCCACTCACCCTGCTGTCAGTTGAATCATTCATAAATGCTAATAGTTCAAAACTCAAACGCGCAAAAATCAAATTGGATTTGTGGTGAGAAAGTAATTCAATACTAAGGGACTTGCACAACAGTTAAGTGTTTAAATTAGTGCTAATAAATTGTTTCTACTTGGCAAATCACATATCATTCTTTGGCTTAATTACAATATATTATCTTTTTGTGCAGATGAAATATAAAACAATGCATAATTTTATTTTGTGATATATTGCAATTATTGTCATAATAATAATAGTAATAATAATAAAGAAAATATTATTACTATTATTTTATGAATTAGAGTTTTGCCTCAGAAAATATTATGAAAAGTAAAGTTGTTAACGTATAAAGTATCAGTGCAGTTCTTACCAGTAGTGACTGTAGAGATCAGTAAGATCAGGATACAGAGAGCAGAACTGCAGGACTGCATGACTGACCTACAGACACACACACACACACACACACCATCAGTACTGACCAGGAGAGGAGAGAGAGAAGAGAGAAAGAGAGAACAGAACTGACCTACAGACACACACACACCATCAGTACTGACCGGGAGAGGAGAGAGAGAAAAGAGAGAGCAAAACTGACCTACACACACACACCATCAGTACTGACCAGTGTGTGTGTGTGTGTATATATATATATATATATATATCCCATTTTTTTATTCTTTACCTGCTGGGATTCCCCTTTAAAGGAGCACACTGAGCTCAGTGGTACAGCAGGCTTTACTGGGGGCGGGATGGATATTCAGTAAGTGAACATTCAGAGAAATACATATTTAGAATGTAAATATGTGAACGAAAACTAAAGCCTCCTCCTTCGCTGCCGCCAGGAAGGCCAGCGAGGGCTCTTCGGTTCAGTTTATTGAGGCGCTTGGCCTCTCCTGCAGGGGCACCAACATTATGCACCCCCCAAAAATGCGGTAGATCTGACCAAAGGAGCCACACTCATCTGCCGATTCCCACCCCATACACAGCATCTCAGAACTACATGCACGCACACCGTCCACTCGCTCAGGCGAAACAGGGCGGAGTCTACACGTCTTGCATTCAAACGAGCGAATCAGATTTCCGTATTCGCCGTCCTGCGTTTTCATTGGTTGACGCGCCTCACAGCGAAACTCACTGAACGGTTCTGTAGGCACTTTTCTCTTTATGTCAGGCGCGCGCGGTAAGCAGTGGACTGTTAAGCTTACTTTCTCTTTGTGTTTTCTTTGTTTTGGCCGCGTCACTAAAAGCGTGTATGAAGCCCAGTGGGTTTACTGGGACATTACATCGGTCACTGGGCACCAAATGAGCCCATAATGCCGGACCTGCTCTGAGCGGTCAGCTCTGCAGCGGCTACTACGTCCGCACGAGTAACAGAGATAACGAAGCCCATTATTACAGCTGTTGGTCTCTACGTCCGCACGAGTAACAGAGATAACGAAGCTCATTATTACAGCTGTTGGTCTCTACGTCCGCACGAGTAACAGAGATAACGAAGCCCATCATTACAGCTGTTGGTCTCTACGTCCGCACGAGTAACAGAGATAACGAAGCCCATCATTACAGCTGTTGGTCTCTACGTCCGCACGAGTAACAGAAATAACGAAGCCCGTCATTACAGCTGTTGGTCTCTACGTCCGCACGAGTAACAGAGATAACGAAGCCCATTATTACAGCTGTTGGTCTCGATGTGTTCAGTCATCATCAGCAGTGTTTGAGCGCGCTGGGGAACCTGCGCTCCGTACAATACGCTATTCTAATAAACAGCTACGAAACATGCAGCGGTGCTTGCCATGGGGGTCCACGCTCGGTGGCAGGGGGTCCTGCACAGCTAAATAGGCGCGCTGGGAGCCACAGCTCAGTCACTGATGTAAGGTTTGTAATCACTTACTGTGCTGCTTGTAGTGGATTTTCAAACTCCGCGCCGTGAAAAGCACATCCGCCCGCGAGTTTAGGGAAACACACTGAGCATGCGCGGGCTTTCAGTTTGAACACGATGCATCCTGCATACAGGAATAAATGCCGGACTTTGAGCTCATTAAGAGTCGCTGTGCTGTGATAAACAGGAAACATCAGTATTTCTATTAAAAGTTTTAAACTGAGAGGGCTGCACTGAGGTTCACCAAGAAGGACTACACTACCCATAATCCCATGAACTACTGAACTACAACTAAGGATGGCTATATAGCCCAATGACTCTTCAGTACACTGTGTGCATTGAACACGGTCTTTAATAATGTTCTCACGAGTTAAACACAACACAGTAACAGCAACTAACTTTTACTACAGTTGGACTCTTTTAGAACCAACTGGTAATTCTGATCAATTTAAATTTAGATCAGCGCCTTTAGCTTAAGATGTTTTAAATGCAGCACCACAGGGCCAACAGGTAATGTAGTTTACATAAAATAAACAATGTTGGTTCTTTTAGTGTTGGAGGATGGTGAAAATGTGCTCATGCTTTGATTCTCATAATTCCCTTGAGTGGACTATACATCGTTAATACTAGTACTACTACTTATAATAATGATAATAATAACAATAATAACAACAACACGTCTGTACAGATGTTTCCGCCTATGTTTCTATAAGAAGCCAATATAACACAGCATACAGTTGGTAGGCGGAGTCTGAGGTGGAAACATGACTGCACTGCTCCCCCTATTGACCAAACTCTATAGTGTCAGTAGAAAAGACTATAGCAGAATGACGTGTCTTCTCTTGTCTGCCTGTATTTTGACCCCTGCCTGTTTTATGGACAATGAGTATTGGACTGTCCCTAATAAAGTCACTTCAAACTTGGAATCTGCCTCATTACAAAAGCAGGTACACCCACGTCTGTACTGGATTACCATGAGCACAAATTACTAGTATTATCATTTTCTATTTGTATTCTTAAAATTGTCATCAGATCAGTTATCAGGTACTGTTGGTAACAGGGTGAAGTATTTTGTACATGCACTCCCACCAGATCATACAGATACGGCTGTATAAGATAAAACAGATGAAGAGCTGCACTGTGGGAGAAATTTGCCTGCGCTCATCTTTCATCCAGATTTGACCATACAAAACTAATAGGGGTCAGTAAGTCTGTAGTAAAGATACCTTGAGTTATATTTTGTGAGTTAGCATATGCCTCAGATGTGCTAACTCATTTGAGAAGCTGCCACCCAAATACATCAGTTATCGACGCAAGGCGAAAACACTTCTTATTCAATTTTTTATTTTATATAAAGCCACTGAATAGGAGGTGAACTTCAGCCTCATGAAGAAAACACGAGTCTCAGCAGCCGATTCTTCCCCAGGATACATGCAACAGTTAAAGTACTAAATGAAAGTCCAAATAAATAACTTACTTTAAGAGCCCACCTCTATTCAGTTGTAGAGTCAACCTCTATTTGATTGTAGTGTGCACCTCTATTCGGTTGTAGAGTCAACCTCTATTTGATTGTAGTGTGCACCTCTATTCAGTTGTAAACTCAACCTCTATTTGATTGTAGTGTGCACCTCTATTCGGTTGTAGAGTCAACCTCTATTTGATTGTAGTGTGCACCTCTATTCGGTTGTAGAGTCAACCTCTATTTGATTGTAGTGTGCACCTCTATTCGGTTGTAGAGTCAACCTCTATTTGATTGTAGTGTGCACCTCTATTCAGTTGTAGAGTCAACCTCTATTTGATTGTAGTGTGCACCTCTATTCGGTTGTAGAGTCAACCTCTATTTGATTGTAGTGTGCACCTCTATTCAGTTGTAGAGTCAACCTCTATTTGATTGTAGTGTGCACCTTTATTCAGTTGTAGAGTCCACCTCTATTTGATTGTAGTGTGCACCTCTATTCGGTTGTAGAGTCAACCTCTATTTGATTGTAGTGTGCACCTCTATTCGGTTGTAGAGTCAACCTCTATTTGATTGTAGTGTGCACCTCTATTCGGTTGTAGAGTCAACCTCTATTAGACTGCAGTGTGCACCTCTATTCAGTTGTAGAGTCAACCTCTATTTGATTGCAGTGTGCACCTCTATTCGGGTGTAGAGTCAACCTCCAAGAGGACAGAAAATCAATAAAACACGTCCACCTTATGCTAATTGTTTATTTTCACTTACAATCATCAATAGAATGAATCACCATCAAAATTCTTGCACTTTCAGCTCACAGACACTCCAGACTAACAGTTTCTGAAAGGTATCTGAGGTGCAACTTGTTTTCAAAATCTCTATATGCAAGGAAATGCAACATTTTGCAGGTGCTGGGTAAATTTTGATCAGAAATGACCCAAATTCATTAAGATATCAAATTTCTGTTACCATTTACATGTGAAACTATGGGATATCTGAGCAGCCCAGGCTCTCCTGAAAATAACAACATAGGGCAGGTGTGACTGTCTCATGTAAATTCTTTATAATTGAATTTGTAATTGACCCAAAATAGCAACAAATTCCCACAATTCTGGGGTTCTAAGGGTTAATGAAGGTAAGAGATACTATATCTAATCAATTAACAGATTATTCAACTCATCTATCAGCTGATTAGCTGATGATCAGGTGTGTTATTAGCTGAAGTTGTGCAGAGCTGTGAACCTCCAGGAGCAGCATTAACGATCACACAGGGGTGGAACATTTTATCAAATGTTAATACTTTTACTTCTATTAAAGAGAGTAAAGAAATCTTTTACACTGTTACGTTTTAGTCGTTCATAATTAGTTACTAATTCCATTTTGTGTTTCATTTCAGTTTGTTTTGATGGTGGCAATATTTTAACTTCCGTGTGATTGGTTACATCTCTGACTTTGGAGCTTTTGTATTTAAACCAAAAAAGAATCCCAAAAAGAGAAGAACAGAGCTGCTGTATGGGTTCTGCCAGCAGAGGGCGACAGCGGCAGGGTGTCCAGCCTGCACCACCAGCTGCCAGCAGAGGGCAACGGCGGCACGGGCCATAACTTCAGGGAACTCCAATTCCCAGAAGCCCGCGGGCTGATTAGGCCCAACTCGACACACCTGCGGACTCCTCTACTTAAGGTCCTGGAAAACAGTTGTGTTTGTCACACCTTTGTAGAGGGGTGACTGGTACGGTACTTAGTGTCAGAAAAGAAAAGTAAAATAAAAGAGGGCTGAGAAAAGAAAGTGCCCCAAAACTGAAGAAAGAAGAAAAGAGGGCTACAAAGAATAAAACTGCCTGGCGGTTCGAGCCTGGTTAGAGTTCAAATCACACATCACACTGACCATCAGGACTTACCCTGAGAGTGACTCTGTGGAGTGACAAATGTGAAAGGTGACAAATGGCCTTGTCCCAATCCACCACACTGAGTGCACTTTCCTTCTTTCCCTCAAAACCACACAAACAGGCCCCAAAGCACATTTTAACAGATAAATAACAATAAATATGGCAAATATTATCATAAAATTAATAATATTTAGCTCTATCTTTCAGTTTACATGGATTTTGAGTATTAAAAATATGATATTAAATATGCAACTCAATTTGTAACTAAAAATAAAGCCTGACAGGAACGTTTAGGTTCAGTGAACCTCAGATCAATTTTATTGTTTAATGAATGCAAAATTTGAAGCAGCCACGAATCATTTTAAACTAAATCTGAATTAAGATTAGGATATGTAGAAGTCTTCTTGGTGCTGAGGCAGATTGTGTTAAATTATCTAAAATGAGCATTTTAACCTGGTATTTCTCTGTGTTGAAATAACAAAATGTCACAAAATCTAAAGCATTATAGGCTGGATTTTCACAGTGTGTCATATGTGGCCACCATCTGAATGTAAATGCTCCCCCACAGTGCTGTTAACCCCTGTTTAAAATGTAAATGATTATCATGTAGCTCATGTCAGCTCTGACAACGTTTGCCAGAAGTGGCCCAGATCTGTTTTGAGACATTTGGGCCATACAAGCACTTTAATATGTGGGCACATGCAGTTAGCCAGTGCTGACCATGGGCCAGCAGTGCCATGTCTCTGCCAGAAGTGGCCCACATCTGCATGCTATATGGGTAGATGATATGGATCAGATGCTGGACTGAACAGTAAACCTGAGCAGAGCTGAGGGTCAGCAGATTAACAAACACTGATCTAGAGGAACATCAGAACTTTAATTCTGTAATAGTGGAGAATATGAGCACTTTCACTTCTCTGAGTGTTTAAACTGAAAGTGACTAAAACATCAGTAGCTGCAATAAAACCACACAGACTCACATCCTGAACTCCAGCAGATTCTCTGCAGCAGTGAGTGACCTGAGTTTGGTGTAATCTGAGCTGACCCATCAGATTAAACCTCAACTTAATCGGCAAGGATCAAAGTAATCATAAATTTCAGTTCATGGTAAATCTCATCAATCTGAATGATCTGAATCAATGAGGAGTTTAATGTTTTCCCCTTATGGTATCTACAGTCCCTTTTAGGGGAAAAAAAATAAATTAACAAATCTTAGGAGTTTATTTTTTATATTTTGTTGTTTTATTTGTTCTTTTTAAATTGTATGAGCTTTTTTTCTAGACAAACCACATGAATAAGACAAACAAAGACCAACAAGATTTAGAACAAGGATTCTTAACTACTACATTTTGGCAATAGACTTTAATGTAAAATGCAATAAAAAAATTGACTTTAATGTAAAGTGCAATAAAAAATAGACTTTAATATAAAGTGCAATAAAAATAGACTTTAATATAAAGTGCAATAAGAATAGACTTTAATATAAAGTGCAATAAAAAAATAGACTTTAATGTAAAGTGCAATAAAAAATGTAGAAAGGAAGAGATTCATATTTACACTAAAGCTCTGCAGATAAACAACTCCTAATGCTTCAGCTGCCGAATCACCACAGTCAGTACCACAATCACAGATACAAGAACAAACACGACCAGCACAAAAATCCACACTGGTACAGCAGCTCCGTTACCTCTGTCCAGATCTGGCGGGTCACCTACAAAACAAGAACATACAGATGTTATATAAAACATCTGAACCACAGCTGTGTCCACCCTACACTATTTAGCCTGATTTGTCCCTTCCAGCATTTGTGGACAATCAGAATTGACAATCAGATTTGAGGTCAACAGTGATTTAGATGTGGTGGTGTGAGAGGAGAACAAGTCAATCTTCAACCTTCAGCTGGAGCTCCAAAGTGAATCAGAGGACTTAAACACCTAAGCTTTTCATGATTCAAAATGTCTTGTAGAATGATTTAGTCAACAGCCAATCAGAAAGCTAGGAGAGAAAATAGGAAAGCGTCTAAAAATTGATTTCAGTTGCCCAGTAGTTGTGTGTTTTCTTATGTGCTTTATTTGTTTTAGGCCCAGCTGAGTTCATAGTAAATATATCATCAAAGCAACAAGGGAATCAGAAAAAAAAAATCAAGGACGGCTGATAAGAAAAGTTTCATTCTGCTATTTGGACACAGACCCAGGAGTGATGCACCATCAAGAGCAAGTCATGGGGTTTAATCATTTAGACTGAACGTGACTTTGGGAGAGGAGACAAACAGAGCTTGAGCTTTGAGCTATTACCTGTACTTACAAGCGAACCTGTAGCTAACTGTGTAAGAACTTAGTTTCTTTTGTCCCACCTCGACCTCTTTCTCTCTGCTTGTTGTACATCGGAGCTCCGGGAGTGCGCAGGCGCATCAATGTTCAGACACATGTTTATTTGGAGAAGGGCCTTTTTATACACTTAGAAGCAGACATGGCTGGCAGGAGGTCAGTATAGACATAAGAACAAGATTTAGAATATGCAGATGAGCTGAGGTGCGAAAGAAACAGGAAATGAACAAGATGTGGCTGCCAAGAAATGACTCAGCAGAGCTGAAATGACTCTCCTTTGGCTAACATTGAGATTTAGCTGCTGTATTTCATACATTTAATGGACAATACTGCCCATCCTGCTGGGCTATGTCTCACTCTGGCTCAATATAATGTTCAGCTCACCAGATTCCAGGGCAACCATGTGATGTCAGTAGCCAAAATAGTGAACTTTGAGTTGTGAGCTTTTTTATATTTGAATAATTAAAATATTTAAAATAAAAAATATATATATTTTAATAGTTTAAGATATATAAACCATATTACGGTCAAAACACCTTACCAGTCAGCATGGGCATTGCTAGGCCAGTTTTATGAGGACACCCTTAATTTTATTTAGCCCCATTCCCAAGTAAATGTACATTATTGTGTACATACTGTAATGAGAGGGTTCTTCAGAATGTGTTGTGTTTGTAGATGGTTCTGTATAGAACTTTTTTTGAAAGGTTCTTTGTTGCGCTCAAAAGGGCTCTTCTGCTGTTACGATGTCAAGCTTGTAACAATAAAAGAACCCTTTTTGGGTGCTATATAGAACCCTTTTCAAAAAGGTTCTATCAACACATTCTGAAGAACCCTTTCATGATGGAAAGAACCTTGCCTTCTGAAGTTTTAGCTTAAGGACTAAGTGGTTATACAGACAGAGAGCACGTAATTAAGAGGAACCTCTTAATCCATCTTGGTCAGCCTACACACCACCACCAGAACATCAGCACTCATCGGAAATGCATGCCTTGAGGACAAAAAAGATTTGTACCTTGGACGATCACAGTGTAGGTGCGAATAATTTCATCACTCCTTTTGTCCTTTATGATATAAACTCCACTGTCAGACGGCTTCATTCCTCTCAGCTCAAGAGCTGCTGACACTCTCTGTGTGTACTCAGGTGTACACTGTAGTGATGGTCCATCCACTGTACAGATCTGACCACTGGATCGATTAGCTGCATCCGTGCTGTTATAAATCACCTCCACTGGATCCGATACATCCAGCGTCAACACCAATGATTCAGTGGGTTTTATCTGAACTGGGTTGTTCAAGGCTGAAGAGAGAAACAATCAAACTTCTTCATCCACTGTGTGCATGTCTTACACAAAGCACTGCATCTGAATCACTGGAGTTGACTATCTGGACTATCAGTAATGGTCATTAGAAAATAACAGATGGACACTTACACTCAATCTGCAGCTGCACATCACAGACGTCTTTACCATCACAGTCGCACGTGTACCAGCCTTTCTTACTGAAATCAGCGTCAGTGATGGTGAGAGAGAGATCTCCCTTCAGGTACTGATCATGGATCATCTGATATCCCTCCTTCACTGATCTGCATGAAGTCTGATCACACTCAGCCAAAGTGTCACTGCGTTTACTGAACACAGTCCATCTTGCTGAACCAGAACATCTCTCAGAGCAGGGCAGAGTAGCAGAGTCATGAAGATTCACCTTCACTGGAGGATCAAATGATTCATGCACTGAAAGAGAGAAATGAGAAAGAGAGTGAAGAGTAAATGTATAATAGTCATCATCATGTTGGGGATTTAAAGTGTTAATATTCTTTCTCAGTTCTTTAAATCAAAAGAGAAGTGTTCACTTCTGATCAGGTACATCTTAAAGGATTTTACTGGTCACATTGAACCCAATTCAGTTATGATTATTTTGTAGAGGCATGTATGTTGTAGAGGTGCCAAAAATGTCTGAGAGCTAACGAGGCTAAAGTACAGCCTCCACACAGCAGCGTTAGTTTCTCCAGCGTGGAGACTTCTGTAAACTCTGTTTTCAGTGTTTCATGTGGGCAGGCAAAGCAGTTGAAAACACTGACATCATGCCATCAACTTGCGTATGTCTGTATTAATGAAAGGATCATACAGAACTCTGTCTGAAACCAAAACAGTTACATTTCAGTCTGGACCACTTTGTCAAAGAAATTTTATTTCCATTTGAAGTAACTTATATTGAGTGGTGTGGCTCTGTTCTGGGACCTCTCTGTGCATACATGGGAAAGCCTCAGGCAGGGAGAGCAGTAGAAAGACCCCTAAAACAACCATAAGAGGCAAATCTGCAGCCAGCAGGAGGGGCTGCTGTTGTATATACGTTTCAATCAGGAAAATGAGAGAAGTAGCCACAGACTTGGCAGGAGAGAACTTGATGCTCCATAAAATGCTTGCGAGCCAGGTCAACTACTGATCAATCCAGTCTCTGCTTGAACCTCTGAACGTACATGACTGTTTTTGCAGAAAATGACTTCATAAGATGGTGTTCCTCCGTAGGACATAGCCAGATCAGGAATAATGGCAAAATAGGTGTCCAACAACTAGACTGGTAACATTACCTGCAAGCACCTGGCTTCTCAGGTGAGGAGACACTGCAGCAGCAGCAGGAGGGAAGAATGGAACCCCAGTGGAGACTGGAACTGCATTTCCCAGCCATCTCCATGGGGCTGTGACATTGTTAAGGCTTGCTGAAGTAACAGCACTGTGGAGTGACGCAGGTGCCCACCTCGCAAAAGAGGCGGAAGGCTGGCTGGCTTGGGCTGAACCGAACTCTACAGACACGATTCTGGAGTTCATGACAGTCAGTGATGACTGAATGCTGGACAAGACTGGCAAAATGTCATCCCCTTGTCCATGCTGCTGGCCGCCTGGGCTGCACCCTGAGCCCCTTGGCGAAGCAACAACTGAATCCAGTACTGCAGCAGAGGTGTGGATTCCTTCTATGTTTCCTTCTTGACCACCTTCCTGGGAACAGAGGAGACATAAGGATCTGCAGGAGGGGGCTCAGCACAACTCTTTTTCGAGAACATGAAAAGCACCAGCTGGAGCCGCAAAAGTGTTCACAGACAAGGTCTCCAGGACTCTGGGCACAGGCCAATCACAAATGCTGGGAATAATTAAATTTCTACGAGAGCTCCAGCGAACGGAAACCGCTGCCACTTCACCGTTCGGCTCTTCCGTTTCTGAAGCCTGTTGCTGCGAGTCCAAGATGCAGTCGACGTGCGATGGATCCTCATCTTGGGTGGGAATTGACATGGCGAGCAGCAGGGTTAGATGAAGCGCATGAACAGACAGCCAGGTTAGCAAAGTGGCTGTGGAGAGTGCAGCAGGGATGGGCAAGCTAAAGCAGCTTAAATTAGCACACTGACAAATTTAGCCAATTGTATGCACAGTCGGCGATCAGGTGAGCCGTCAACAGATTGAGATCAGCTGGTGATTGTGGCCTGAGTTTGACTTTGTGGCCTACCTGAACTAATGCTATTCTTGATTTTTGGAAATTTTGTACACAGATTCATCAAAAAAACAACTGCTAATTAAAATAAAGAATAATTACATAATTTTATCATATATTCTTTTGTCATAATTTATCATTGATCAGAGTTCTGTCTCACAAAATAAAATAAAAATAATAAAGTGTTTAATAAGATTATAAATGACTGAAAGTGCAGTTCTTACCAATAGTGAATGTATTGAACAGTAAGATCAGGATACAGACAGCAGAACTGCAGGACTGCATGACTGACCTACAGACAGACAACTGTCAAGGAAAGTTGTGACTATAGTCATGTTGTTGCTCATGTTCTAACAGTGTACAAACATTAGTGTAACTGTATTGGTACAATTAATAGAATGTCCATTCTCCACGATGCATTGTTGCATCTACATGATCTTCATTTTCGCAGTTTAGCATCACAATATTACGACTTCATGATGCATTGTTACACCCCTATTATACTGTAATCTACAGGGGGAATCTCTTTTCCATCAGTACCAGGTAACTCTGTTCCCTCTGTGTTCTAGTGTAAAACACCTGTACTGATAAACTACACAGAAAAGACACATTACTACCATAACAGTAAGACAGAAATGCACTCCAGCTTCAATAGGCTACAGGGAAATCAATCTTCTAGCTACACTTAAATAAGCAGTCTAAAATAATAACACAGACTAATTACTGTGCCACTACAACAGACTGTCTCTATATATGGTCATTAAATTAAACAAATGAAACAAAAGCTCGAATAAGCAGGTTTACCCGACTACTGTTGGCTTCTTTTTCAGATTTTCTGGTTGCAGTTGTAATGTTTCACCAGATTTAGGAATCAGTATGTAACTGATTTGTAAAATCAAGCCATGTGCAGAAATGGGAGTGATTTGTCTGTTGGGTAGGTTGGCAGACGAACTTGATCCCACACCAAGTTCTGAGACTTTATTTAACAGACCATTAAAGCGTGTTTTATAATAAGGCTGTTCAATTTTATAAATTAGTGCTTCCTTTAGGCCTAACCCTACACTTTCGAACAGTCTGATTCTGACAGTAACACACAAAAATAAATATTACTGAATCGTTGATTTCATTCTGATCGTCTGAACTTGGCAAATGAGACTGAGTGAGGCCAAATTACTTTCTGGAGTTTTATTTCTACATTGTCAAACATTGAAAATATATCATACAAAATATAACAGACCATCAAAAGCTTGAATTACAAGAAATATTGCCATTATTTTATTGCAGCCCTCTGAACTTGCCATATGAGAAGATTACGGTGTAACACACAAACTGACACTATTATAAACCAGAATTATAACAAAATTTACTGTATGAGCCTTTAAATATGTCATATCAGTTATTATACACAACCACAGGCCAATTACACTTGCACACATTTCCAGTGGGCCTAACTCCAGATTGTCAAAACAGTCTGTTGATTATGACACTGATTTATGAAAACTGATCTAACAGACCACCAATAGCATGAATAACAAGAAATATTACTGTACAGTTTTGTTTTGTTTTTTTGTTTCTGACTCTCTGAACTTGGCACATAAGAAGACTGAGAACTGAGTGTCCTTTCTGCTTACTTTCTGGAGTCATATGTCTGTATTATCACTTATCTTTCTACTCTCGTTTTTGCTCATGGCTTGGTTTAAGAATGCTATTGCGACAATACACTAACAGCAAGCTGTGACTCTCACTGCACATCAGCTCTCTGCAAAACTGAAAGTTGGTCTTCTTTAAACAGCCAAATGCACCAACCGCAGCATCAGAGCTCTAACGTTATAACAGGAAACTGAACTAAAACAACACAGAACTGGAAGACTGTCTTTCTTAAAGAGCCCATTTCACATTATATCACAGCCCTATAAGAGCACTAACTTAGACCACAGAGGCAGTGAGTCGCACTTCATTGACCACTTTAAACACAAACGCCCTGTATGTACTCACTTGATTTCTGTAAGATGGCTCTTATAGCAGGGTTTTTCTGTTTTCGAAGAGGGAATGTGGAACCACTCTGACCACTAACTGTTGCGCAGACAAAAAGGAAGTTGAGCTGAGTTTGGGTGCTCACAGGAAGGTCTTATTTGGCAGATAGTGAACTAGTAAATATGATTAAACTCTGTTCAAGTGCTTGTTTATAGCTGCACACAGGAAAAAAAAGCATGGTCCGGAGAATACAGTCTTGCTTTTTCTTCCTTGAAAAAACGTTATTTTGTTGGTTTCTGTTGTTTCTGTTGATTTCTGATGGTTTTGTAATGTGTTTTGGCCTTTTTCGTGGGTTGATATCACAGTGTAAAGGATCCTAATGGTTTAACAGGTGACCAACAGCTGATTCTAAAATTTATTTGATGGTTTCCTAAAGGAATCTAAAAGTGTCACTGGAAACTAGTGGTCTCTATTGGAAATCGTTAGCCCAATTCCCATTAGAAACCTAAACCATTAGGTTTTAATCCTAATGGTTTGCAATGGTATTTTTTCAGTAGGTTTTGCTGTGTTGAAAAGTGCATAGATCTAACAGAAGCATGTCATGTACCCCATTAACAAAAAAGCTGGGACGCGGTGCCGAATGTAAATAAAATAGGATGCAATGATCTGCAAATCATGTAAACCAGGAAAATGCTACAAAGACAACATAACAAAAATTGAAACTGAGAAATTTTATTGTTTTTTTTGAAAAACTATATGCCCATTTTAAATTAGATTTTAACAGCACTCTGTAAGTGTTTGGGAACTGAGGAGACACTGCTGCAGTTTTGAAAGTGAAATGGTCTCCTGATCTTGTTTTGATAGAGGATTTCAGCTGATCATCAGTTCAGAGTCGCTTTTGTAATATTTTTCATTTCATAATGCACCAATGTTATCAGTGGTGACAGGTCTGGAATCGTTTAATGTAGGTCCCCAATATTTTAGTCACCCAAAAAATCTACAAAAAACAGTGTGATAGTGTGAGACGCCAAGTCTTTCATAATCTGTTCAGACTTTAAAAGTTGAGTAGTGAACACAAGGCTGGATCCGACAGGGAGAGAAAGACAGAGAGAGAGAGACACAGAGACTTTGACTTTTGATGGTCCTTTATTGAACCAGCTCTTTCTTTAAAACAGTCGTCAGTCACATTGTGTCATCCTATGTTATATTGAAATAAATTAAATTATTAAATAAAAGTAAGACAAACACTTTATAAATAGATAAAAACAAACAGACACAAATAAAACCCAGTCCGGCTCATCTGAGCTCAGGAGTGAAGCAGAGATCACCCTCGCACACCGAGCACACAGCCTCCCCACAGCACCACACAGCCTCCCCACAGCACCACACAGCCTCCCCACATCACCACACAGTCTCCTCACATCACCACACAGCCTCCCCACAGCACCACACAGCCTCCCCACAGCACCACACAGTCTCCCCACAGCACCACACAGTCTCCCCACAGCACCACACAGCCTCCCCACAGCCTCCCCACAGCACCACACAGCCTCCCCACAGCACCACACAGCACCACACAGCCTCCCCACAGCACCACACAGTCTCCTCACATCACCACACAGCCTCCCCACGGCACCACACAGTCTCCCCACGGCACCACACAGTCTCCCCACGGCACCACACAGTCTCCTCACATCACCACACAGCCTCCCCACAGCACCACACAGTCTCCCCACGGCACCACACAGTCTCCCCACAGCACCACACAGCACCACACAGCCTCCCCACAGCACCACACAGCCTCCCCACAGCACCACACAGCCTCCCCACAGCACCACACAGTCTCCTCACATCACCACACAGCCTCCCCACAGCACCACACAGTCTCCCCACGGCACCACACAGTCTCCCCACGGCACCACACAGCCTCCCCACGGCACCACACAGCCTCCCCACGGCACCACAGTCTCCCCACGGCACCACACAGTCTCCCCACAGCACCACACAGTCTCCCCACAGCACCACACAGCCTCCCCACAGCACCACACAGTCTCCCCACAGCACCACACAGTCTCCCCACAGCTGTGTCTCTGCTGTTGGTGTCTAATGGGGGATGCTCTCTGAACGTTACCCATAAACACACATAATGACCTGCAGTGCAGCTCTGTGTACACAGATACTGAAGACCTTCGCTTGTCTTAACGTATCACATCACCACACAGTCTCCCCACAGCACCACACAGCCTCCCCACAGCACCACACAGCCTCCCCATGGCACCACACAGCCTCCCCACGGCACCATGCAGCACCACACAGCCTCCCCACATCACCACACAGCCTCCCCACAGCACCACACAGTCTCCCCACAGCACCACACAGTCTCCCCACAGCACCACACAGCCTCCCCACAGCACCACACAGTCTCCCCACAGCACCACACAGTCTCCCCACAGCACCACACAGCCTCCCCACATCACCACACAGCCTCCCCACAGCACCACACAGTCTCCCCACAGCACCACACAGTCTCCCCACAGCACCACACAGCCTCCCCACAGCACCACACAGCCTCCCCACATCACCACACAGCCTCCCCACAGCACCACACAGTCTCCCCACATCACCACACAGCCTCCCCACAGTACCACACAGCCTCCCCACAGCACCACACAGCCTCCCCACATCACCACACAGCCTCCCCACAGCACCACACAGTCTCCCCACATCACCACACAGCCTCCCCACAGTACCACACAGCCTCCCCACAGTACCACACAGCCTCCCCACAGCACCACACAGTCTCCCCACATCACCACACAGCCTCCCCACAGTACCACACAGCCTCCCCACATCACCACACAGCCTCCCCACATCACCACACAGCCTCCCCACAGCACCACACAGTCTCCCCACAGCTGTGTCTCTGCTGTTGGTGTCTAATGGGGGATGCTCTCTGAACGTTACCCATAAACACACATAATGACCTGCAGTGCAGCTCTGTGTACACAGATACTGAAGACCTTCGCTTGTCTTAACGTATCATATTTAGATCCATTTCTTCAGGCTCTGAAAATTCTTTAAAGAACATCCAGAATGGAGGGAATGTGTTAAAGGAACCACCGTTTCAGTTAAATAAAGCTTTCGCTGCATTGTGTCATGGATGAATGTCCTGATGAAGCGCTAAGAGAAGAGCTCTGATACAGTAACATTAACATCTCAGAGCTCATTACAGAAGCAGAGCTCTGTTTAGTGTCTTTAAGATATTTATGATAAAGATTAATATCAGCTCATAAAACCCTCAACATCTTTGAGTGATGAAGCACAGAGTTTCAGATTAAACTGAGTTTTATTAGACAGAAGGAAACATCATACAGCAGTGACACGAGTGAAGAGTTAATGTTCATTGTAGTCGTTTTAGCATGTTTGCTGTGATTTCTAACTGCATTAATTTCAAGTCACAAAAAAATCAAGTATGAAGTGAATTTAATTGACTTTTGTCATCATGGCTAAAATTATTTACAGAAGCCAACTGACAAAGACTAAAAACAAAAAATAAATAAAGGATAAAGAAAAAGAAAAAAGGAAATTAGACTGTGCGTAAAATGAAAAATCAGCATTTTATTTGTAATCACACATGAAAACATCCACATTCAAATCAAAACTACAGTTACGGTTCTGACTGACTCATCAGGTCCTTCTTAGCACCGAGTTCACAGCAGTACAGCAGGAACACAACTCAGTCAGAGTGCTTTAACATTCTCAGAAATCCAGTAAACACTTCAGCTGTTCTCTTTAAAACAACAAACAACACACGTCTCAAAGAGTAAACAAAAACAAAGTCTCTCTTTCTCACACAGTAATGACTGCATTACATATGAAAATGTACTTAAACATACACTAATATACACTGAGCTGGTCTGAGTGCACAGAACAGAGATGAGGCCCTGCAGCCCAGTTCACACAAAAAACACTAAATATTAATATACATACACAACTTTCATAAAACAGCACAAACTAAATATCCTCAGATATTCAGATGAGTGGACAGTGCTGAAGAGCAACACTTTGTCCATATCAGAGGGTCAGATAACAGAGTAACAGTGAAGAAGTAGTTAAAAAAGCAAAGGAAACCCAAAAATAACACTGCAGAACACAACCTGAGTACAAAAGACAGTGATCTTCTCCTTCATGGCTCTAAAGCTGTCTAAACCATGACCAACACAAGATTAGAGCTCAGTGGTGACGTTTATTGATATGATTGAAGTACATATTAAAAATAATACGTTTACTTTTCTTCCCTTCCACCCAAAATGAGTTACTTTTACAGGTCAACTCCTCCTGGATATCTTATCATGACTGTACTGGTTGGTATTTGTGTTATCATAGTGCAGAGTTCATGTTTTTACACTGACTCAGACTTTATTAGTGAACAGTGATTTGGCTACATAGCAGTTTAGCTTTGTACATCATATAAACTTGTATATCAGCTCAGTATACTGAAACATGCTAATGAGAGGATTACAACATGCAGACAGGCAGAGTTCAGCTACAGAACATGCAGCGCTAATGTAGCTACTTTAATGTTCATCACAAAGACAGAATCTAAGCTGTTCTGTAAAGGGCAGAGCTGAGTTACTAACATAGTGACAGAATGAACACCTTCAACATGCAGCTTTAACACTGTGTAACACTCAGGAACAGTCATTTAGCTCAGAGCAGAAGAGTGGAGTGAAGGAGCAGATCCTGTTCTGATCCTCCTTCACTCCTTCTCCCTGATCTGATCCTCCTTCACTCCTTCTCCCTGTCTGATCCTCCTTCACTCCTTCTCCCTGATCTGATCCTCCTTCACTCCTTCTCCCTGTTCTGATCCTCCTTCACTCCTTCTCCCTGTTCTGATCCTCCTTCACTCCTTCTCCCTGTTCTGATCCTCCTTCACTCATTCTCCCTGTTCTGATCCTCCTTCACTCCTTCTCCCTGTTCTGATCCTCCTTCACTCATTCTCCCTGTTCTGATCCTCCTTCACTCCTTCTCCCTGTTCTGATCCTCCTTCACTCCTTCTACCCTGTCTGATCCTCCTTCACTCCTTCTCCCTGTTCTGATCCTCCTTCACTCCTTCTCCCTGTTCTGATCTTCCTTCACTCCTTCTCCCTGTTCTGATCCTCCTTCACTCCTTCTCCCTGTTCTGATCCTCCTTCACTCCTCCTCCCTGTTCTGATCCTGCTTCACTCCTTCTCTCTGTTCTGATCCTCCTTCACTCCTTCTCCCTGTTCTGATCCTCCTTCACTCCTCCTCCCTGTCCTGATCCTCCTTCGCTCCTTCTCCCTGTTCTGATCCTCCTTCGCTCCTTCTCCCTGTCCTGATCCTCCTTCGCTCCTTCTCCCTGTTCTGATCCTCCTTCGCTCCTTCTCCCTGTCCTGATCCTCCTTCGCTCCTTCTCCCTGTTCTGATCCTCCTTCGCTCCTTCTCCCTGTCCTGATCCTCCTTCGCTCCTTCTCCCTGTTCTGATCCTCCTTCACTCCTTCTCCCTGTCCTGATCCTCCTTCGCTCCTTCTCCCTGTTCTGATCCACAATTTTATATAAAGCCAGCAAATAGGAGGCCAACTTCAGCCTCATGGTCTCCGGAGCTAATTCTTCCTACAGGATTCAAGCAACTGTTAAAGTGCTGATTCTGAAAGGCCAAACAAAGAACTCACTTGAAGAGTCCACCTCTATTCGGGTGTAGAGCCCAACTCTATTTGATTGTAGTGTGCACCTCTATTCGGTTGTGGACTCTGGTGGGTGTGATTGAGCCCCTCACTCATTTCTCCAGTCACACTTTATAAATTAGATTATAAAGCTCAATGTTTAATATTAATATGTGGCCTTATAGTCAACATTTTTGTTTACATTTGTAAAGACATTACACTTTTGTTTATATTTTATATAATTATAATGAAACACACTTACACCTACGGGCAATTTAGCCTGTCCTATCATCCTGACCGCATGTCTTTGGACTGTGGGAGAAACCCACACAGACAGGATCCTGGTCACCCGACCGGGAATTGAACCCAGGCCCTTCTTGCTGTGAGGCGACTGTGCTACCCACTGTGCCACTGTGCTGCCCAACATACTAACATATTATAATTTTAAAAAATGTATTGTGTTTTTTCAGAAACTGACTTGTGACAGTTTTCCCACCCTTTCATTCCTTCTATTTCTTCCGATTCTGTTTTCACTACTTCTCTCTGTTCCAATTGTCACTTAGATCATAATGTTTCCCTGCTCATGATGTTTAGGGGAATATTAACTGAAGCTCTAGACTCATGCTGCCATGTGATTGGCTGATTGGATACTTGGTCTTGGATCTTGGATTGGATCTTGCAGCTTTCCTGCTTAAAAATAGCAAATAGCTCATTTCTTCTCCATCGTGGTGAACAGTAGTTGTAATTCAGTGCTGCTGAATTCCTCTCCTCTTTCGCAAAATCCTCACCACTGGTACCAAACACACAACTACTAGTGCAACCATCGTCAGAGCAAACACCCACGCTGGTACAACAGCTCCCTGATTTCTGAATGGACATGGCTGGTCATCTACAGAACAGAAGGACACACAGATGTGCAATATTGTGAGTTCTGACTAAATATCACCATTAAAATCCACAACAAGACTTTAAACATTATATTTACACATTCCATCTTCATCCACTTTACACCCTACAAGGTCCATAAAAAGAAAAACACAACTAAAGCTGGAAAAATACACACCATGGACGGTCACTGTGTAGGTGTGAATGACCTCTTCATTCCTGTCATCCATAATTATATAATCTCCACTGTCAGATGGCTTCACCTCTCTCAGCTCAAGAGCAGAGAACAGTGCCATTCTCCATTTATACTCATCATTACACTGTAGTGAGACTCCATCCACTGTACAGATGTGACCACTGGATGGTCCAGCTGTGTCTGTGCTGTTATAAATCACCTTCACTGGATCTGATACGTCCAACTTCATCACCAGAGATTCACCAGGCTTTATCTGAACTGTAGTATTCAAGGCTGAGGAGAAACACAAATAGAAACTTCATGAATTGTGTGGAAACCAAAGTCAAAAGTTCATTTATTTGATTATTTTTCAGGAGAGATAATATAATGAGATATAATGAGATATAAGATAATCCACTTGCATAAAGAAGAAGAAAATCAAAGTGAAACATTTGGAGTTTTTAAAATAGCAACCAAGATGGCGGCGTGTGCACAACGCGAGGCCCAGCGTCTCTCCAGAATTCGCTTTTTAGTAATTATTAGTCTTCTGATTTCCACTCGTTTCTTCTCAAACTGCAAGGCAAGCATCTCGTATAGTTGGCAGTTCTTGCTGAACATTGGTTTTGCCTGCAGTAATGCAGTTTTAGTGATCTGGAACTCGGGAGATATCAAGAGTACCATGTACTGCACAGCCGGCGCCCCAAGCTGAGCGAAGCCAAGGCCCCGAGACCGTAAACAAAGGCGGGGAGGGCGAGGTGGACTATGGGCTAAGCTAAGACTTAACCCACACCGGACATCGGTTCCCAGCATTTTTCTCACCAGTGTTCGGCCTTTGACGAACAAAATGGATGAACTGCGATTCTGGACTACAACACAGATGGATCAGAGAGTGTCACGTCATTGTTCTCATGGAGACGTGGTTAAACAGGATTTCCCGACCAGCACGCTGGAGCTGGAGGGATGCAGTGTGTTCAGAGTGGACAGAGTGGCTGAGGACTCCAGTAAGAGTAAAGGTGGAGGTCTGCGTGTTTATGTAAACAAATCATGGTGTACGGACTCCTCCGTAACTGAAAGTCAGTGCTCTGCTAACTTAGAGTACCTGATGATCAGGTTCTGATGTTCTGAGGTAGAGCGGGTCTCCAGCTTAAAGTTCCTGGGAGTACACATCTCTGAAGATCTTTCATGGACACTCAACACCTCACGCCTGGTTAAGAAGGCACAGCAGCACCTCTACTTCCTGAGGAGACTAAAGAAGGAACATCTGTCTCCTCAGATTCTCACAAACTTCTATTGCTGCACCATTGAAAGCGTACTGACCAACTGTGTGACAGTGTGGTACAGCAGCTCCACTGTGGCCAACAGGAAGGCCCTCCAAAGAGTGGTGAGGCCCGCTGAGCTCATCACTGGCACACGACCTCCTCCCACCCCAGCCACACACTGTTTAACCTCCTCCCATCTGGGAGGAGATACAAAAGCATTCGGACCAGAACCAGTCGGCTCAGGTCCAGCTTCTTTCCCTCCACCATCACCCTGCTGAACTCCACACCACTCCACTAATCTTGTAATACTGTATGTTGCACACAATATTTATTATTATTTATCTTCCCAAACATTTCCATACAACAGACTGTTCACAGTATATAGAATACAACACACAACTGCTTACTCTAACAGTGTGTAACATATCTATCTATCTATCTATCTATCTATCTATCTATCTAATAACCACCAGGAACGCCTGTTCGACCCCAAAACTGCCCCCATCAGATAAACAGCACTTAAAGCTTTCATCTCTGAGAGAGAGGAGAAAATCAAGCTGATCAGATCTGAAAACATCCACAGGTGTTTCTGTCCATCCTTCCACTGTGAGAAGACGACTCAGTGAGAGAGACGGACACATCAAACAAAGAAGCTGAACAATGGACTGACCTCAACTTGGACAGTGAGAAGCAGAAAATGCTTTGGAAGTGTGGAAAAATATTCCTGCAGATTTCTTTGAGAAACTGGAAGCGAGCCTCCTGAAAAGTGGTCAGTGAAGAATGGACACTTACGCTCAATCTGTAGACACACATCACAGACGTCTTTACTGTCACAGTCACACGTGTACCAGCCTCTCTTAGTGAAATCAGCTTTAATGATGATGAGAGAGTGATTCCCCTTCAGGTACTGATCATGGATCATCTGATATCCCTCCTTCACTGATCTACATGAAGTCTGATCACACTCAGCCAGAGCATCAGTGGGTTTATTGGACACAGTCCATCTGACCAAACCAGAGCATCTCTCAGAGCAGGGCAGAGTAGCCGTCTCATTAAGCTTCACCTTCACTGGAGGAACAGCTGATTCAGAAGCTAAAAGAGAGAGAAAGACAAAAGGGTAAAATAAGAGCATCTCAGTACAAAAGTGCTCAATAATTGAGTTCTAATTTGCAGGAAGAGTAAATGTCTAAACATCATCATCAAGTTCAGTTTTAGATCCAGGCATATTTTAATGGATCAGTATTTTCTATGATAAACCATCTAGTTATGACTCTTTATTAAGGCCATGTTACCCTCTTGTTCTGAGGATGTGAGTGAATTATGTACTAATGTCATCACATCTTCATCAGTGTGATGTTGATTCTGAGATCATTTGAGGCCGAAACATCGAGCCGGACCTTCTTTTTGAGTCTGTGTGTGACGTTAATATGTAAAGACAAATGACGTGGTTTCAGGTTTTACAGGGCGACTCCCAGCAGCTAATGACACTTTTTTAGTTTTACATAGTGAAGCTTTAATAAACTGTATGTACTACAGATCATATTACTGTTCATTACAACATACCACAGCATTTTACAGCTAACTGGCTAACAAACATATTAATTAGATCATTTTATCTTGATTCTGTTGTTTAGAGAAACTCTGGTCCACAAACCAAACTGATCTTACCAGTATTGAATGAAGAGGTCAGTAAGATCAGGATACAGAGAGCAGAACTGCAGGACTGCATGACTGACCTACAGACACACATACACACCATCAGTACTGACCAGGAGGGAGAGAGTCGATACACACACAGTTAAATGATAGTGTTGAAGCAATGCTGCAGTGTTTTTAGTGTAATTTCTATCAGGATATTGATTATTGTGGACAAAAACACTAAAGCATGTCTCTCTATATAACAGAGAACACAACCAGTATGATAATATTATCCACTTCTCTAAGATTTGGGTCAGGCTGAAAGGAATGGACCTTCCCAGATCAGTCACTAGATTTACACACATTCTAAACCGTGACTTTTACATTATTCACTCTTTCTTCAACCCTTTTACAGTAAAATTCTGTCCATCTCTAACAGTCCAATCAACAGTGAGCTCTTCTAGCATGTGCAGATCTGCAGTTTCAGAATGTCACTCAACTCAACTCTTACTGGGAATCAGCAGGCAGTGCATCCACACAGATCATGGATCCTGTGGGGTTTTTTCATGACATATATTGTCACAGTCGCACAAAAACTTTATCTCCGTTTGTTTCATTTTTCTGCATAATTTGAAAACTTCACTTCCCCTTTGCACCAACAGAAATGGTCCAAAATTACTAGGAAAAATCCTCTTATTTTAACTTCCATTACAAGTCCAGAATGCAAATTCACCATTTTTGAGAGTCTTTGTGCCAGCAGCGCTGAAACAAAATCCCTTTTTAACAATAACATGAGAAGCCAGAAGGACGTGCTGTGCTATGGTTGTTTAGAGGTTTTGTAATTCACTGCATTCCATCAGCTTTGGATCCTCAATCTCACAAGAATGAACTGAACAGAACGAGTCAAGACAGTCGAGAGGATCACTGAATGTAGTCCCTGCCAAAGCTTTACAGCAGGGTGAGATTACAGTCTCAGAGAAAAGGTACTGAACTCTCACTGGGTACCTTCAGTCAGGGAACAAGACTGGACCATAATGCACTGCAGTTCTGACTCCAGACACACTGTTCAAACCCCAGGGTTCATTTTATTGTTCTGTTCTAAAACGTTGGACACTGAAATGGTACATTGGTACATTAAGGTCTTTGCTGTACCCTTTTCCAGACAGTGTAGAGCTAAACCTGGAAACCACCTCTTCCAGCCACTTCCTTCAAGATCATCAAAGTCAGTATAGCCTTTTCCCCAGAGCTGTAGAGCTGGACCACAGTGGACACCTCGTTACACAACTGTACCCTAACAGTCCTCCTTCACTGTATAACTGTAGAGCTCCTCTGTACTATATCGCTTATTCACACGACTGTAAAAACAAAACGAATGACACATACAGTCATGGCCAAAATTGTTGGCACCCCTGAAATTTTTTCAGAAAATGAAGTATTTCTTACAGAAAATTATTGCAATTACATATGTTTTGTCATACACATTTTTATTTCCTGTGTGTGTATTGGAACAACACAAAACAACAGAGAAAAAAAAGCCAAAAATGATATAATTTCACGCAAAACTCCAAAAATGGGCCGGACAAAATTATTGGCACCGTCAACTTTATATTTGGTTGCACACAGTTTGGAAAAATAGCTGAAATCAATCGCTTCCTATAACCATCAACAAGCTTCTTACACCTCTCAACTGGAATTTTGGACCACTCTTCTGTTGCAAACGGCTCCAGGTCTCTCATATTTGAAGGGTGTCTTCTCCCAACAGCAATTTTAAGATCTCCCCACAGGTGTTCAATGGGATTTAGATCCGGACTCATTGCTGGCCACTTCAGAACTCTCCAGCGCTTTGTTTCCATCCATTTCTGGGTGCTTTTTGAAGTATGTTTGGGGTCACTGTCCTGCTGGTCCACCCATGACCTAGGACGCAAACCCAGCTTTCTGACACTGGGCCCTACATTGAGACCCAAAATCCTTTGGTAATCTTCAGATTTCATGATGCCTTGCACACAGTCAAGGCACCCAGTGCCAGAGGCAGCAAAGCAACCCCAAAACATCTTTGAACCTCCACCATATTAGACTGGTCTCATCTGTCCACAAGAAGTTTTCCCAGAAGGATTTTGGCTCACTCACGTACATTTTGGCAAACTGCAGTCTCTGCATCAGCAGTGGGGTCCTCCTGGGTCTCCTGCCATAGCGTTTCATTTCATTCAAATGTCGACGGATAGTTCGCGCTGACACTGATGCACCCTGAGCCTGCAGGACAGCTTGAATTTCTTTGGAACTTGACTGGGGCTGCTTATCCATCATCCAGACTATCCTGCGTTGCAACCTTTCATCAATTTCTCTCTTCCGTCCACATCCAGGGAGATTAGCTACAGTGCCATGGGTTGTAAACCTCTTGATTATGTTGGTCACCGTGGACAAAGGAACATCAACATCTCTGGAGATGGACTTGTAACCTTGAGATTGTTGATCTTTTTCCACAATTTTGGTTCTGAAATCCTCAGACAGTTCTCTTCTCCTCTTTCTGTTCTCCATGCTTAGCGTGGCACACACAGACACACAATGCACAGATTGAGTCAACTTCTCTCCTTTTTATCTGGGTTCAGGTGTGATTTCTATATTGCCCACACCTGTTACTCGCCACAGGTGAGTTTGAACGAGCATCACATGCTTGAAACAAAGTTATTTACCCACAATTTTGAAAAGGAGTTTTGCGTGAAATTATATCATTTTTGGCTTTTTTTCTCTGTTTTTTTTGTGTTGTTCCAACACACACACAGGAAATAAACATAATTGCAATAATTTCTGTAAGAAATACTTAATTTTCTGGAAATATTTCAGGGGTGCCAACAATTTCGGCCATGACTGTAATACAGTGAAAACTGTAAACAAGGCTAGACAAGTCTACTGTTGCTCAATCAGCTACATGGTATTTGTGTCATACGCTACAGGATATAAAATCCTGCATTATTATTTTTGTTATTATCAGTATTACTAATACTACTGCTTCTGCTTCAAATACATGGCCTTTGTTTGAGCTGTATCATTGGTCATTCCCCTTGTTGAGATACGCTACACTGAGATTTCTACAGTGAAAACCTGTAAAATAGTGTTATGTTCTGTACTCTTTCTAATAAATCATCACATGATCAAAACAAACATGAACATGCTTGTTCCCCGGTGTGCATCAGGGCTTCCCATCCTTAATCAGTGTCTCTTTTAATGAGCCCCAAATACTTAATAGTCTAAAACCTGAATAGAACTTTGGTAACCTTTGGTAACGTTTGCTTAAATATCACAGTGAGTGAGACTGTGAGATACATCACTCTTATTTATGATGTATGGCATATATAGATTCATAACCAAGTGTCTGAATCATGGAGTCAATGTAGTTTGACACTAATATGAAGATGCTTTGAGAGTCTAGTTTTATTGAAAAATTATGATGATTTATGATATTTTAAGTTGGTGTTAAACCAAAGTTTGGCTGAAGCTTTCCTGCTGAGCTCACTGCTAACATCACACAGTGTTTATGTACAGCTCAGCTTTTGGAGGGTTCATGAATCAGTCTTTTGGAGTATCAGTACATCATCACCCTGTGTTTCTACATGTTTTCACAGCACGCCAAGAACAGAGAGAAGACACAGCTACTTAGCCACAGTGCTGTACTCTGGAAAATGCTAACAGTGTCTGGATGACTGACCAAATTTCTTACATGTCTTAGTCTCTAACACACCACTGCAGGTACAGACAGGCTGAAGTTGGCTTCCTTTATTAGTGCATTAGTTATTAAATTTTCCATTGCACCCTAAATGGTGCAGCAGTTACAGTCCGGCATCTGTAACTGCTTCGCTGTTTAAGGTGGAACTGAAAATTCAGATAGAAATCGAAGAAGCTAAACTCAGCTTTGTTGGGGTTACTGTAGTCACTCTGGGCTGAACAGATTACCTGCATAATCCAATAAAAAAAATCTGCAAACAGGAGACAAAAATATTGCAGTGATCTCTGTAATCAGGGCTGTACACAAACTTTTGAGCATGTAGCACTGGTGTTATAAACTGGTGTTATAAACTGGTGTTATAAACTGGTGCTATGAACTGGTGTTATGAACTGGTGTTATAAACTGGTGTTATAAACTGGTGCTATGAACTGGTGTTATGAACTGGTGTTGTAAACTGGTGTTATAAACTGGTGCTATAAACTGGTGTTATAAACTGGTGTTGCACACAAAAATGTTCTAGCTCTGAGATACATGCTTCTAAAAGTAGATAAATCTCTATAAATTGAATAAATTGTCATTTTAACTGTGAAAAACTGCAGCAGTGTGTAAAAGGTTTGTATTTTGATGTTCATTTTGTGAAACATAAAGAGAATAAATTTACATTTACATTTACAGCATTTAGCAGACGCTCTTATTCAGAGCAACTTACAAAAAGTGCTTTGTCTATCCAGAGAAAGTATCTTTGCTAGTTACTAATAGGTTAGAGAGAAAGCCAGTCCTGAGCTCAGATACTGCTAGAAACAAAAATCGATGTTGATACAGAGAGAAAAAGGAACAGAGTTAAACACAGAGCAGTGCAGTACATTTCAATAAGTGCAGTAAAGTACATTACACTGAATACTTAACTCAGTGCTCATTTAAGTGCTGTACACAGAGACGGTCTTCAGTCTATGTTTGAAGACCGCGAGAGACTCTGCTGTTCGGACAGCCAGTGGGAGTTCGTTCCACCACCTGGACTCCAGGACAGAAAAAAGTCTTGATGCTCGTCTACCACGCATCATGAAGGGTCAAGCCGAGCTGTACTAGAAGCTCAAAGGGCTCGAGATACTGTTCGAGTTTGGACCATTGCCATCAGGGAGGGAGGGGCTGGTCCGTTTTTGGCTTCGTAGGCATCAGGGTTTTAAATCTGTTGCAGCTACAGGAAGCCGGTGAACGCAGTGCAGCAGTGGAGTGATGTGACTGAACTGAAGATTGAAGACGAGCCGAGCTGCTGCATTCTGGAGGAGTTGCAGAGGCTTTATGGCCACATAGGAAGACCTGCTAAGGGTGAGATGCAGTAGTCAAGCCTTGAGATGACCAGAGACTGAACGAGCCCCT